TAAACATTTGGAGCAGTTTTCTGCTTTGGTACCTTGCTATTATATAATAGCAATACAGGCATCTAAGTATTGTGGACTTTGACAGCTAGATTGAAAAGCAATTCAGATGTGTGATAACTAAATACAAAATGCTTTCTGACTGATAGGGGACTGTACAGTTGACATTAAGATATCCAGAATGGTATACAACTATCACGGGATCCCAGTGGCATTTTTCTCAATGCCTACTTACTGTCCCACTTGTCTGATGTGCTACTTAACATTTTATTTATAAAACGAGGATTACCTGTCTTCTTCGGATGATTATTAGACACGTTGCTGTGTTGACTGACTGGCTGTGTTGGGTTCACACGAGACAGCTACATTTTAGGGGGCACTTGCCACATGGCTACCCCACGTAAAGTACTTAATTTCATGTGCATTCATCAGTTCTGTGCTGTTTCCATGTTAACAATGTTTCAGACCACTCAAATTCCTATACAATGATGCTAAAGGTGGGATTTTTAAATGTCTGGTCTAATCTCACCTATCCCATTGGCTTTGAAATGGAATTGGGCAAATTTCATTGAGGATAAAGCTATCCATGACTACTACTTTTCGGCCGTGGCGCCTGCCTGGTGGAACACTCTCTCACAAGGGACCAGGCCCTGCGGGATTTGACATCTTTCCGCAGGGCCTGCAAGACGGAGCTGTTCCGCCAGGCCTTTGGTCGGGGTTCAGTCTGATTCTTCTTTCTGTATAAGAACAAGCATTAAAGAGGCCTCCTAGCCCGCTCACAGGTCCTTTATAAGACCAGTGGTAACAGTTGGCCTTGGAGAATATTAACCACTCTCAATTTTACCTGTGGACTGCCATCTGTCCAGATTTTAATTTGCTCTGAACTAATTTTAAGATGTATTTTAATTGATTGCCTGTTCTTACGTTCTTTGTATACATTGGTACCTCAGGTTAAGTACTTAATTCGTTCCGGAGGTCCATACTTAACCTGAAACTGTTCCTAACCTGAAGCACCACTTTAGCTAATGGGGCCTCCTGCTGCCGCCATGCTGATGGAGCACGATTTCTGTTCTCATTCTGAAGCAAACCTGAAGCACTATTTCTGGGTTGGCGGAGTCTGTAACCTGAAGCGTATGTAACCTGAAGCATATGTAACCTGAGGTACCACTGTGCTGTGTTAGTTTTTCTGTAAGACCAATTGCAGTCGTTAAAAGTCAACAGGTTTACCACACCTATCAGCCAATCACCCATTCCCACCACCCTTCTGAGTAATACCCCTCAACATCCTCTCACTATATATAAGGGTCTGGTGACTTCTGTTTCAGTGTATCTGAAGAAGTGTGCATGCACATGAAAGCTCATACCAATAACTAACTTAGTTAGTCTCTAAGGTGCTACTGGAAGGATTTTTTTAAATTTTGTTTCGACTACGGCAGACCAACACGGCTACCTACCTGTAATTAGTTTTATGATGTTAGCTGCCCTGAGCCTGGCTCCGGCTGGGGAGGACGGGGTACAAATAAAAATTATTATTACTAACCACTCTTTATTTAAGCTATACTAACCATTGCTGGCAGGGCAACTGTGACACAAACAGCTGCATGGCAGGCAGAAATTCAACCCATAAAGTTTTGCAATCACTCCTCTCAATGCTGGGACTTTATATACTGGATTTCTGTCTGTCATAACGTCAAAGTCGGAGGCGGCTTGCTAGAAATAAAGCCCTCCCCTGCCAATGGGTCTCTTTTTGTTCCTGAACTTCAAGACCAGTAAGTGGGCTGGCACATTTAGTTGTTACATTTGGAGACACTCTAGCAATGTTTTTTTGGGGGGGGGGTTAAAGAAGATCGTGGTACATTTAGGAATTCCTCCTTTAGATTTGTGTGGAGATTGTTTTTGCACATGGGTAAGGCTGTTAAAAACCGACTGCAGCAACACTAAGAGTCCAAAAGCCTTCAAAATGGGGGTGTTATGGCAAGAAGATGCTCAACTTCTGGGTGTGCCAAATGTATACAGAGCAGTTCCAGAGCAGCATGAGAGCTTTAGAACTCTTTCACAATAGATCTCTGCGGTGAGAGTTACACCTTTTACCTCCCCAGGTAGCTGGACTTATTTTGCTAGCTGGCTCTTGCTAAGTAGCTGCAAAGCCACACCCAGCCATGCTGTGCAACTCCTCTGCTGCCTGCTTCCACATATGGTCAAAATCATCTACCTTCCGGGTTGCCTATGTCAGCAGTATGTACACTCAGCAAAGCAGTCTGTGATCCTCCCAGTAACTCTTTGTTTGGTAACTATTGATACAAACGTATACATCTACTTAGCAGTAAGCAAATAATACGCCCCAACATTATACCTGCCAGTATGTACGAGTTGGAAACAGAAAGTCTGTATCCACTATTAAAATATTCTATTTCATGCAAGGATGGCAGAATATAGAATCTGAACAAGATCAAACCCACCCACCCCAAAACATTATTGCTTCATTATTCCACTTAGGGGCACTGGGCTCCTAAGAGTTGGAGGAAAATAGCTTCAAACTCTTCAGAACTTTGGCAGCAAGCTTCTTCTCTAGCAGTTGCACAACAGGCAGAAATCCAGCGGGTGAAGCCTATATGAAATAACAAAGTTGATTTGCTCTCCCCCTCATCCCAATGCTGAAGGCATTACAGAATTATAGTGGGGATAAAGGTAAAGGGACCCCTGACTGTTAGGTCCAGTTGCGGACGACCCTGGGGTTGTGGCGCTCATCTCGCTTTACTGGCCGAGGGAGCCGGCGTTTGTCCACAGACAGCTTTCTGGGTCATGTGACCAGCATGACTAAGCAGCTTCTGGCGAACCAGAGCAGCGCACGGAAACGCCGTTTACCTTCCTGCCAGAGCAGTACCTATTTATCTACTTGCACTTTGACGTGCTTTCGAACTGCTAGGTTGGCAGGAGCAGGGACCGAGCAACGGGAGCTCACCCCTTCGTGGGGATTTGAACTGCCGACCTTCTGATCAGCAAGCCCTAGGCTCTGGTTTTGACCACAGTGCCACCCGCATCCCTTTGGTGGGGTTAGAGAGCTGAAAATAATGCAAATAGATTTTACATCTGGCAACCAATGCACTCCTTGGGTTTTGGATAGTATATGGGTAGAGTCTAAAAAGCCTGGGACACAAGTTTTCATAGCCTTCTAGTGGCTATGATGGCTCATTTACCAGAAGTAATGTATTTAGCATTAACTCTGGAAGTATAAACTCAATTCTGACCAAACTAAGCCTCCTGTTGTATGTTTTGCTCTAAGAGGCTTAGTTTGGTCAGAATCGAATATACACATCCAGAGTTAACGCTAAATACATCACTTCTGGTAAATGAGCCATCATAGCCACTAGAAGGCCATGAAAACTTGCGTCCTGGGCTTTTTAGACTTGTCCACCGATGTACTATCTGAAACCAAAGAGGTGCATTTGTTGCCAGATGATGTTGGTTTTTTCCAGCTCTCCTATCCCACTAGTAGGTTTGAGGTAAACATTATTTATTTGTAAGTGAACCCCTTGTGAGTTGTGATTCACTGAGGAAACTTTTTAAAGAAAATAATTTCGATTTTTGCAGGCCATATTGTTTCAGCTAGAGTTGTCACCTTTTGTTCTTAAGGACCTTCTATACATTGAACAGCTGACGGACATGCAAGGATATATTCCTACTTTCAAGGAAGAGCTACACCCATTGAACTTCTGTTTGTCAGGAAGTAAAATCAAACAAATCTTGTCCCCACCTTCTAAAAAACAAAAAAAGGTTGCAACTCTAATACAGGCCTGGTTGGTTCCATTCATCAGACAGACATAACCTGCTTCTTTTCTTCAGTAGTCAAGAATCGGTTAACTCCCAAGACTCAGTCTCTGGCACTACTGGAATTATGTTTTAATGGACCAATACCTCTTACCTGCTAATATCTTGAGTTTTAAAGAGGGGTGGGGGGTTTAATAAGATCAAAAGTAATTGAATTCAAAAATAGCTTTAGAATTTTGAAAGTGTAAGTTACACAGGTCAATACTGAGGAAAGTTAGGAATATAGGAAACTGCCTTATAGCAATAGAGAGCTAGATAGACCTTGCATGTGGTCATTTCAGACAAGAGATCTTGTTCACTAGGCTTATGCTGAGATTTAATACAGAACCTATTGCATGCAAGGGATGTTCTCCTCAGCCGAGGTAAAGGTTCTCTTGGAAATCTGAAGAACCTAAGAAAACATTTTGCCTTTTGAGTTTTCTAAGTCCTAAAAAATGCAGTAACACTTGGTCTCAGCTAAATATTTTTGACAGCCCAATCTTATGGTTACTTGGAGAAGTCCTATCACATTTAGTGGTACTATTAAGTAATTGTGCATAAAGGTGCATTTTAAGATTACAATCCCATGTTTACTACATAGGATGCCCCATTGTAATAAATGGGACTGCCTTCCAAATAAATGTCTTTAGAATTACACTGAACCTGTGCATTACTCATGTGTCTTGTTGAACAGACTTCATGTACCTAAACATGTTTAGAAACAAGCTCCAAGTTTGAAAACCCTTGCTCTCTAGCAAGTTTCCATAGGACTGCAACTTGGGTGGGACTTGCTTCCAAATAAACCTAGCTAGAGGACACTATTCTTTGTATTCCCCGGAGAAACAACTGGGACGTGCAGCCTGACCTATATATGTTCACTCAGAAGTAAATCCCACTAAGTTAAAACACAGTTTGATCATAGGATAGCAACCTTAAGATACATTCTTAGGCATATATGTTCAAAAGTAAGTCTCATTCATTTCAGCAGACTGAGGATCACATTAGTCCTCTTTTTGCTGCATATGAAGATCTTCTATTGAAAAACAAAAGAGCAATAATCTTAATGTCTTTCTGCCCAAAATGCAAGTGCATTTTATGGCTCAAGTTTCAAAACACACCAACCAGTTTAAGTTGCATCCCCACCCCCCCTTTCTGGTGAAACAAAGTCATAAGCAGGAAAAGGAATTCAAATCTGTTGAAAGAGTAATAGAATGACTTTATTGGACAACAGGCATAGCAATAAATACTCATGAACAGAGACTCGTTTAGATAACAAAAACATGAAGGTGACAAATTGCCAGATGAAGGTTCCCTTTTTGAAAACTTTTCCTTGTCTTCAGGCAAAGAATATTTGCTTAACTTGGACACATAAATTGGGAATGACCAGTTACATTTGATAACTCATGGTGCAGAGCAGTGGATGCAACAGAACTCTACTCTTGCCCATCCTATTTTACTTCAGTTAGTTTTTAAAACTATGTCACTAGTTCCTTGTAGACCATACAGACTGCAAGTTCAATTGATCAAACAGGCAGGATCTATGTTTCTTTCCAACACAGGGGGTCATTTATGTGCCCTCCAGTTAATAGAGGATAGAAGAAACAGTCTTATGGCACCTTAAAATCAGGAATGCCAAAAGACATTTTTTGTTCTTGCTAAAGCTGCAATCCTCTTATGGATCTAGCTCTGAGAACAAGTCCCACTGGACTCAATGGGACTTACTTCTGAGTAGGCATGGACAGGTTTGCACTGTTACAGAAGTGTTGGGCTTCCCCCTCCCCCCTTTACAGCACTAGTTAACGAGTTTAACATCTAACCACAAGTTCATTCTGTATATGCCTGTCTTAATGGTACCAATCAAAGAAAGTGGGTGACTTATTATTTTTTTTTAAAAGAAAACATACCAACCCTTTATGCATTTCTTGTTCAGAACAAAAAAAAAAAACATTTAAAAAATTATATACTTTATTACAAATGGAAAAAACTCAGAAGATTGCTAAAAAAAATCTCTTATTTACAAACAATACTGGGCAGAACCCAAATGAACATAAAAATAACTTACAAAGTCATGAAGTAGTTTTATTGACATTAATCAGCTGTCATAAAATAAAAAATATATATGTACATACACAACTCGACTTGAAGGCAGGCAGTATAGTTCAGCTTCTGTTAGCCTCCCACAAACTCCCTCCCCATTTATTTATTTTTAAGGAGTACTAGAGAAAGCAAATCTACAGTGTCTACTGCAGTTTAACCTTTAATACTGAATGATCGTTGAATGTTAGGTCCATGCAGGTCTTGGTCAATGTTAAAAGAAAACGGTAACACAAGGCTTCTTCATGCCTCCTCTGAATAGAACAGCCCTCTTGCGGAGCTGGACTGTCAACTGGTTTGCCACCACCTCAAACCAAAAGGCACACCAGTCTCTCTCCACGCATGCTTTGGGGGAAGAGGGGGGCACTCTCCGGAATCAATGCCTTTCAGACTTTTCTTCCCGCCCGCCCCCCAAGTGAAGCTTTCCACCTCCCAACTTCCTTCTTTTTTTTGCTTAGTTTTGCCCCATCACACAAGTTACTTTCCAGTCTCTTCAAAAAGTCTGCAACTGCTGTGTGAGCATTAGCTGGCACCCACTGTTGACGTGATTCATGACCTTCTGCTTCAGCTGTGCAACCTGCTCTCGCAGCATATTGGCAGTGGATGCCAGCTCTGAGTTCTGGGCTTTCAAAGTTTTGACTTTTTCCTCCAACCTGGCAATGCGCTCCAACTTCCTTTTCCGGCACTTGGAGGCCGCAATTCGGTTTCTCATGCGCTTCCTCTCAGCCTTGATCCTCTCCTGGGATTCCATGTCGATGGGCGACAGGGGAGGAGTCTCCCCAGGCATTTCTGGGACAGTCTGAGGCTCTTCTTTCAGAGCCTGAAGCCGAGGATGCTGCACAGGCATCTGGGGGTTCAGGTGATGTTGCGGAGGGTAGCTCAAGCTGCTGGCATTGTAGCTCGGCGCCGTGTTGAGTGCGTTGGGGTTGAAGTTGCTGAGGTTGGCGTAGACCGGAGGCTCACTGTGCAAGTTGGCACTGAAGCTGTTGTTTCCAGCCATGGAAGAGACGGGGGTCATGCCGGTGTTTGAAGGCTGGGCAGCGGAGGTGACGCTGGGGGGCATGGTGTTCTGGTTGTGCAGCTCTGCCAGCGCCCTGACAAACCCTTCGGCAAACCCTTCCTGCTCGTCAGTGACATTTTTGGGGCAGAGGAACTGGGTTGGGGTTGGCGTGGTGGTGATCAGCCCATTGCCAGACTGGATGATCAGCCTTTCCAGTTCAGGAGAGGCCAGCTTGAGAAGGCCCACATCTGGGGAAGTCAGGATATCAGCATTCTTGTTCCTCAGGTGGGGCTTCAGGTTACTGGAAGGGTCAGCCAGGTTGAGAGTCATGTTCTGCTTCAGCACCTTGGGGTTATTATATCCGTAAGTACCACTCTCTGGCTGCACGAACGTCGTATTGATGGCATCATCGTAGAATGTAGGTTCCATCTTTGCAGTCATAGAATACAGTCCACAAGTTGGTCCTACTTAGGACAAACAAACAAACAAAGAAGGAGAGGAAGCTGTGCCACAGCGTACACCACCCTTTCCCCCCTCTAAAAAAAACTTTTCAAACAGCTTTTCCGAGAGGAGAAGAACACAGAGAGGTGATGAATTAAAGTCTGGCTTTTTTGCCACAAGTCATTGGCTCGCCTGTCCCCGTTTTCCGCCCCCAAACTCCGAAAAGGAGATCTGGATTTGACAAGCGGAGGCTTCCTCAGCTAAGAACAAGGTTCAGCGCAGTCATCAAGAGTGCGGAGCTCCAGAAAAACAACTCGCCCAAAAAGAGAGCACTGAAGTTCTTTATCGAAGTGCGGAATTCCCACTCCCGGCCAAGGAATCCCAGGAGTTAAAACGTGGCTTCTTATCGCTCCGAATTGGAGGGGGGGGGGATGAAGGTTCGCGAGTCCCACAACTTTGGAAAAGTCCTCCTTTCCCCCCCGCGACTCCTCGATGGCTCCCTCCTCCTCGTGGGAGGGTCCTATGCTGCGCCGGAGTGTTCGCGAGTTTTCAAACACACTTGTTTCGCGTCCTCTCCGCTTTTCCTCCTTTTCCAGTCTCTCTTGCCCACCAACACCGGAGTGGCTCTCAGTCACTGACTCGCCCCGAACGAAGAGTTTTCTTTTTCAGTGGGGGGGAAAGTTGCTGCAACTTCGGTCGCTCCCCACTTTGGGCTCCGATCCACAAGCTGCGGCGAGAAGTTGCGTCCCCGGACTCCGCGCGACCGGCTCTCCTCCGGGGACCCAGGCTCCGGAAACCTGTCGCTCCGCTGGCGGCGGCGGCGGCGGCGGCGGCCGATCAAACACGTCCGGGCAAGATCCCAGCCAGGCGATCCCAGCCGCGCAGCCCAAGCGAGGCTCTGTCCGCTCGCCCTTCCCTTGGGGAGCAACGGGAGGGTCTCTCGAGCGCTCCGCGTCGCCAACCGGCCCGGTCTCTGCTGCCGCTGCCGCTTTCGCGGGTGTCTTTCCCGGTGCCGCTTTGCTGGGCGCGCTGCCGCTTTAAGCCGCCGCCTCCTCCTCCTCCTCTGCCGCGCACTCAGCCCCACTCTGAGCTCTTTCCCAGCGTGGAGCCCAACACTTATCAGCGAGCAGTAACCCACTAAAAATAGCCCATGATGTCACCCCGGGGCCTTCCCATTGGCTGCAGCCGCCTCTCACGCGGGGAGGGGGAGGGAGGGCGGCCGGGCCCAGCCTGTTGCAGAGCAGCCCATCTCCATGGCCACCCCACCCCCTTCAGAAGCTTCCCAGCCCTCTTTCTTTTTTTTCCTCCCTTCTTTGGTTCGCGGGGCATTGTGGGATGAGGTAATGCCTGGGCTCCGGTGCAGGGCATTGTGGGCTGACGTATTGTTTTTGAATATCTGGTTACCCGCTTAAGAGCTCTGGCCGGGTTGGAAGAACCGGGCAGTGATAGATACGCGCGCGCGGATCGAGGGGGAGGGGGGACGCGGCTGGAGATACCAAGTGGGAAATGTGAGAGGAGGGGGCGCTGGTGATACCAAGTGGGAAATAGAAGGGGTGGGACGACACGCGCAAAGTTCGAAAGGGGCAACTTTAGGCAAAAGGTAATGGGGTAGAAATAATAATAATCCATCGTTTTCATCAAGCGCAGAGTTCCAAAAGGGTAAACTTTACGCAGAGTGCTGGGGAGGATTTTTAAAAAAAAATATATTAATTATTAATACAATTATTTAAAAAAATAATTTATTAATTATCTCTTTCCGCGAGAAATAGGGGCAGTTTGTCCCAGGCTTGATGCCATCTGATTTCACTGGACTTGGCTAAATGGGATTTCAGTCCTGTCCTAAGTAGCTTTCTGAGAAATCCCTCCCGCCTCTGCCATGCCCGGCAATCGCGTCCTTTAACGAGGACTCCGGGGCTGCTGCTGCTGTTTCACGGCACATGGATCCGGGGGAGGAGGTGCGATGGGCTGACTCTCACGTGATTTTCCTTCCTCCGCCTCGCCGGGCTCTCTCCCCCCCACCCTCCGGCGTCCTTCCCCAGCAGCCTAAGAGCTTCCAGGCAGGGGACAAGAGGGAGGGGGCGAGAGAGAAAGAGAGAGGCTGCCTACTTATTTGGAAGCGCATCCCGCTGGCACCGGCTTCCTTCCGAGGAAGCTTGAGCCGGGATCGGGATGTCCTGCGCTCACCGGCTGGAGAGAGGGGTAGTCCCGTGGAACTCGCTGCCTCTTTGCTTCTGAGCCCGCACATTAGGCTGGAGGAGATCGGGGGCAGGGGACTCAAAACCTCGCTTCCTTAACACACCTGCCGCCGCTGCCCCGAAGGATCTTTTTCTTTAGCGAACTTCCCGGGATGGGGTGTGGGTACTTGGGGCAGAGCTGTGTCCGCGCCGGGCCGTCTGCTTTGCCGCTTTACGATCCTCTCGGAGCGCGATAGTCTCCTTCGAGGCGGGGCCGGTCCGGTGTGTGTGTGTGTTTGTTTTTGAATCAGTGACATTGTTTTTAAAAAGGAAAACTCGCGTGCAGCCGAAAAGGCTTCCTTCGTAGCCCACTGGTGCAATAGACCTTTGCGAGAGATCTTAAAAATCTCCGGCTTGTTTGCAATTCCGCCCCGCTCCCTTTACGTTCAAAAATCGTCATGTTTTGGCCAGCTCCCGCCAAGAACTTGTTAACACTTTGTCTGCGCGATCCCTGCTAATTTTTCCTTCACGCCTTTATTTTTCTCCCTCTTTGGTTCAGATCGGTGTGCTTAGTTTCAAATGCTGGGGACAGCGGGAAGAGAAGCGTCGGCTTCAACCCAGTCGTGACGGCGCATGAAAGGTGACTTCACCTGGCCAGTTTTGGCTACCGAGCCACATAGCTTAACCCTTTCTATCCCAGGGTCAGAAGCTGCCTTAAATCTCAATACTCCGCAAGCAGCCGAAGAATGACGGAGATGTTAACAAAGCAAAAGCAAAACCCACGATAAGCTCCAGAGGCAACTCCTAACACATTTACTTGGGTGCAAGTCCTGTTGAACAGCTTTCCCCATTTCCCTGCTTTTAAATTGTGAATTTTTGACTCCGATGAACTTTAGATTGCTTTTATAGGTTAATTGGCTCTGATTATTTCTCTGTGGTGTTTGACTCAGATGCTGAATTTTTAATGCTGGGGTTTGTTTACTGGTTTTATTGTGTGGTGCTGTAATTTATTGTTGTACTTTAGTGTTTGGTTTATGAACAGCACACATAACACGGTTGTTGGGTGGCATTTGAACAATATTAATAAAGAAATGCAGTGGCACTTACTTCAGAGGAAATGTTCATAGGATTGTACTCACAGTCCAACAGATGCTTAATTTATGCATAAGCTACATCAGCATCAAAGGAGCTTTTAGGCAAAGGTGCATAGGATTTGGATTCTTGAGGCTTCTTTATTTCATAGCTGATGTTTTGGAAAGCTTAAGTGGCACATTATTGTTAAGAAACTTCTCTGCAACCATGAGAAATGAAAATGTTTTCATTTTAGCTTGGAAGAGATCCCACTAATTAGGATCTGCAACTAGTGCCCATTTCTGAAACAGAGTCTACCTTCAGCTTGGATGGAGCTGTTCATAACAACACAGCACAATCCTATCCATCTTTCCTTGCAAAGAAGTTCCACTGTGTTCAGTGGGGTTTACTCTCCTAGAAGTGTGCATAGGTGCGCAAAGTGCCATAGCTCTGTGGTAGAGCAACTGCATTGTAAGCAGAAGGGCCCAGATTCAATCCTGAAACCCCAAATGGTTTTTGACATTCTAGTGAGACAGTGGACATGATTTTCACCGCTTGACAGCTTCAAGAAAAATGCAGAGACCAAAACCAACCCTTGTCTATGGTGTTTATTGACCTAAGGCCTTCAACACTGTAAATTGTAATGCCCTGTGGACTGTTCTTCTAAGATAAATTTGTGAACATCCTTTGGCTCCTCCACGATAACATGACAGCAACAATCGCAGATAACAATGGCTCTCAAAGCAAACCATTTACAGTGGGATACATTTATAAATCAGTTTCATACAAAAAATAAGGTGGTATACAACAACAACCCCAGTATTATAATAAAAGCATCAGGACACATCATTTGTTTGGCAGAAAATCTCAGGTTTGAAAGACTAGTTTGCATTTGAAGGCATCTACCCCCAAACATGCAAGTATTTCTTTCGGAAGTTTATGTTCTGTGGGATACAGTCCCAAGCCTGTGGAACTGGAGGAAAGCGTAAAGGAAGAGTCAAAAGTTCAAGTTTGCAAACCTTTCGAAATGGTATGGTTAGCCTGGGCCCATGGGTATAGCAAGGGGGGGGGTGCAGCTGCTCCTACCTCCCAAATCAAGCAAGTAAATAAAAATACTTACGTGTGACATAATTAGTCAGTTGGTTAACTTGGTTCTGCCCCCGCCCCTTAAATCCTGGTTATGCCCATGCTTGGGCCTAGCAGTGATGCGAGGTGCAAGTACAGCATTCTGACTGCTGTCTTCTCAGCAGGCAACCCACACAGCCATGCTTACAAGGAAGAGAGCTGTTCTTTCTCAGCAGCTGCCTTGGAGGCTTGGTGGATGGGAAACAGAACAGGAGTAAAGCGACCTGGACTTTTTCAGGATGTCTACCTGGGTGAAGGCCTGGATAGGCTCTTTCTCAGTCAATTGCCCAATTGTTCTAGCAATTAGTTCACTTTCTTGCTCCATCTGCAAGTTCTGTTACGTCAACTTTATGAATTTGTTGTTTTTTCCATCCCCCAGCTTCGTCATTAACATTAAGATTCAAACTACGTAGAAGTGGTTACTGATCCTTCAGTTTCTAACAGTACAATGCTGCCATCAATGAAATGGTATCTGTTGGGCTTGTTAGACCTCAGGAGTAAGCTATCCATTTATTCACCACCCACTGCTTCCCTTTTGTAAGCACTTAATGTAACAGAGACAGAGATTTCCTCTCTCATATACAAATGTGAAGTTTAAGGGTTGACTGTGTGACCAAAGCAGGTCATTCCAAGTCTTCTGAGGACAAGATGTAGGCCTGTACCTTTGGCAGATGAAATTTCAGACCATTAATTGTGCTCTTAATTATTTGGAAGCTATGTGGTCAGTTGAAAGTACTGGTCTCTTGCATGCTACTGTGACAATCTATAGTAGGCAAAAGGTAACACTGCCAAGTAATTCATGTCCAATTAAGGTGTAATACTATCAATCATCATATGGGCGCAGACCTGCTAATCCGTACTATCCTGTTTGAGACATGTAGGTTTGGGCCAACATGGCTTCTTCTGCAGTAGCTCTTAAGGAGGGCATATATGAGTCCTGCCCTTAGGCCTATTCCATCATGCCCCTTCTGTACCCACATATCTCCTACCTGTGGCTTTTGCACATCATCACCCCTTCAATATCTAGCTGAAGAAAGGCATTCATTGAAACAGTGTTGACCCAATGCCAGGACCACAGAGCACCATGAGGCAATTGGCTCTGTTGCAACTCCACACCTGATATTATTGTGCTATTGTTTCAGCATATCAAAGGGTGTTACTTCCATGCAAAAGTTGAAAAATGGGACGTGGGGCATGAAGGGGATCATGTGCTAATATGGCATGCAGTCATGTACAAGGCTATCGTGTTCTGAAATATCAGGCAGTGTTGGCTTTGGAAAGTCTTGGAAATCTCAGCTTTCCACTCAGCAGATTCCCTCTGTTTCCTTTGCTATAACGCAGGCATAGGCGAACTTGGCCCTCCAGATGTTTTGGGACTACAACTCCCATCATCCCTAGCTAACAGGACCCAGGGGTCAGCGATGATGGGAATTGTAGTCCCCAAACAGCTGTAGGGCTGAGTTTGCCTATGCCTGCTATAATACAAAAGTAGTTCAAGGAAAGTAAAATTTAAAGACATAAATATCAAGAAATTGTGGCCTGCTGCCATGCAACTCAGTTTTTTAAAAGCACCATAAAAATCTACATGATTAATCTATTCCTTTAGGTATGTTTTTGCCAAATGCTAAAGAAAATATTCTTTTTATTGAAATGGAGCATAAACTCAGTCTTTTGCAGACGGCCTCCACTTGCATGTCTGAGTAAGCCTGTGAGTGGGCAGCTGTGCATCCTTCTGTAGAGAACACAACCACCATCACCTGTTTATTTGTAACAACAAGAAATATAACCATCCTAAAAATGTATTATAAATCATAATATCAATAAGTATTAAAAAAAATCAATATAACGTTGTCTAAGACAATACTAATAAGCTACCCTGATTTAACAGCTTAAAGCTAAACAGAGATAATAATGCTGAGCACTGAAATAAAAAGGTAGCATACAAAACTACATATATTCCTTCATTATATACAAATACACCATTTTTAGTATACGAAGTGAAATAAGTGTGCTTCTGCCATCTCTCAGCCAAACCTACCTTACAGGGTTGTGGTGAGGATAAAATGCAGAGGGGGAGATGTGTGTGCTCCACCTGGAGCTCCTTGGAGGAAAGGCAGGATATAAGGATAATAATGCATTAATAATTCTGTATAAGCAGAAGAGAATTTATGTGTAGCAAGTGCTTTGTTTTCTGTTGTCTTTATTTGCTTTTCTTTCTGTTTCCGTTGCAGCAAACTAAAGAATTTCTATGCTACTTAAGATGGAAAGTAAAAGTTAAATAATAATAATAATTTTATAAATATTATTATTTTCCAAGTATGTGAAGACCATAGTGTTCCCAATGTGACTTACATTAATAGCAAACATATAAAAAGCATTAAAGTATACCATTAAAATTGCAGTAAGACTGTTGGTTTAAATAAACCAGACACAGTAAAATTCAATAATCATCAACAAAAAAATGGCACCAGGCAAAAACATTCCTATTTACCCTGGTCTTTAGCCATTAAATCATATAAGGCTTGTTAAAGCGGTGGGGGGGCTGTTATTTTATCATTATGCTGTCTTATTATTGTGATTTTTATTTTGTATTTATTAGTGTGCTCCCTAATGGAGAATCAGCTTTACCTCTTGCAAAGTTTTAAGTTTATCTGGTTTACCAACAGATAAAGTTCAATAGTGAAAGATCCTGTCAGTTTTCAGATTAGTTAGCCAGCGGCCCAGAAAGATTCCCGAATGCTTAAATTCTTTTTTTCAACAGAATTTGGCATCCTGTCCAGATTGACACCTCATACTGTTGCAGCAGCTGTCAGAGCAATAGGACTCTTGACAACCAGGAAGGAAGCACTGTGCCTAGCCAAAAACAGGGAAGGAAGTAAATCTCTGTGAGATCAGAGGATGCAGTTGTAGATTGCAGCCTAAGGGATTCCTAAGCAAAACTGTCTGTCATTGTTGTGAACCTTTTGACTTCACTGAACAAAGGAAGTTAACCTTGCTCCCAGTCATCTAGTTTAGCTGGGTCTATAGAGGGTTTCCCCAGCTCTTTCTGGAAAAACCAGCAGTGACTGAACCTGCCACCTCCTCCACACATAGATGAAGCTTGACACCTGAGCTTCAGGTTCAAATGTGGGCTCATATAATTGTTTAAAAGCCATTGTTCACTTGGAAATGTGGTGGGGCCTCTGCAGAGTGGGTTTCTCCACCTACTTGCATTTGGCTGGCTCTTCAGGAAACCTATAATCATGTGCTGCACTTGGCTGATCTCTTGATTATACCTTCGTTACCTGATGCTGACACAAGGACACTGAAAAGCACGCACGTTCTCAAGGTGGGCACTCAGGATTACCTCACATGGATTATAGTTACCTGCCAAAACAGTTTCAGTAGCCTGCCCTACACATGGCGACAAAAGATTGTGAAAATGGCAGATAACATTTCTTCCTACCCTTTGGGTATATTGTAATTTCACTAACCAGGAATATTTATAAGTCCGGGTGTGGTCTAAAGTAGGTGTGGCAAAACCTGAGGGCTGCACAACCTTCTGAGGGCAACATGACAGTGTTGGGCAGGGGCAGAGGCAAACGTGAGTGGAGTAATGAATGTAAACTGTTAAGTTGTGGGTGAACATATCAGACGACACAGCGATTCTTCAAACAGCTCTTGTTTATTCACAGGCCAGAACTGAACTGAACTGAACTATATCAGCCAGCCTGCTTATATAGAGCTCCACTACAACGCAGCAGTAACCACTTTCTGTAACTATCCAGTCACTGAACGTCACTTTCAATTCCTTATTTGCATATGTGGACCTGAGTGAAAACTATCTACAGTATCCCCCTGCTGGCCCAGGGTGAGAACTTCAGTACATAACATATACTTTACCTGCGCACAGCACTCAACACTCACTCACACAGCCCTCCTGTCTTCCATTCAAGCAAGTAAGAGTCACCATCAGAGTTCAAGCATTCCATCCAGGAAAAACAGTGGGATGTACATAAGGAGCCCTTTTTGCAGTGCTATTTTTCTCACCATGAATGCCTCCCTCTTTATCTTAGAATAGCAATGACACCCAACTGAGAGGTTCTGGAACTGCGTTCTGTTGAGTTTCCCCTGAAAAAAAGCCCTGATGCTGACCTAAAGACGACATTGTGGCAGCTTTGCTCCTGCTCTGGTCCTGCTGCTGGTGTCAGTGAAACCATGGTTTGACTTAGCTCAACCTGGGCTCAAGGTTTGTCTTCTTCCTTTGCTCCACCTGCACCAAAGTTTTGTTCTTGAGTTTACAACTTGATGGAGGAGACAAGCTAAGCCAAACCATGGCTTAGAAGCAGGAGACTCTGGGGAGGAGTGCAGGAACCTCCATCTTTTCCAGGAGCCCTCACACTTAATGTAAACACATTAAGTCATGGTTTGGCTTTGTGTTATGTGCAAGCCAGCTTATAGGAAAAAGCATAATACTCTTGATAATGTGAGAAGTCGATTGCCATTTCACTTGCCTTTCCGCATCTGGATACAGCCTAAATCTCTGCCTGTATTTAAGGTGGAACTAAGCAGTACAAGAAGAGACACCCAAATATGGTCTGTCTAATTTTTAAGGACAGTGACTTGGAGACAACATTCTGAAAAAAAGAACAAAGTACAACATTCAGATATCTGGGCATCATTTGTAAGGTGCCACTCTTCATTGCTTCTTTAATTCAGCTTTAGGCTGGCCTAGGCTAGGTAAACCATAGAGAAGGGTAAATGTCTGGGGGAAAATAGCATGGCTCATCTTTGTTCCATTTTAATACATGTTCGGTTTTTGTTTTCTCTTTTCCTAATTCCTTACATTAAGCATGGAGTGGGGGTGGTGTTTGGCCAGCCAATCCAGCATAAATGTCCAGGGCACAGGTGTTCAGTTTATTGCCAGTTGTTTTCAGGTAGACATCATCGAGGAAGTCACAAGGCCAGTTCCATGGTTGAAGCCTGCAGGCTGTGCCGGATTTACGTATAACTAAACAAGCTATAGCTTTAGGGCCCCACTCTCTTGGGGGGGGGCAAAAAAAAATTAAAGAAAAAAACCACTGGATGTACATTTCCAAAGTATTAGATAAAAAACAAATAAAATAAAATCTACATACAGCAACAGTGTTTTGTGTTGTGTAGGCTCCTATGTATGTACAAATGGCTTTAGATACCTATTAGGTCCATAAATTACCATATAGCATATACTCGACACAAAAAACAGCAACAATTTGTTGTTGACAAAGGACAGCTAGACATATAAAGGGCCCTATTACCTTCAGTAGCTTAGGGCCTCATCAAACCTAAATCCAGCCCTGCCTGCAGGAAATAAACCTGTGGACCTCCAAATGCTGGATTCCAACTCCTATTAGACCCTGCCAGCATGGCCAATGGTCAGGGATGATGGGAACTGTCATTGAAGAACATAGGGAGGGCCAAAGTTTTCCCATCCTGAATGCAGTCAGTAACACAAACTACTTGAACGGCTTAAGCAAATGGGATTACCAATTGAGAACCTGCATGGTCAAGGTTAGGATAATGGAAGTAACATGAAAGGCAAAGAAAAATAGTGTGCAAAAGAGAGTCCACAGGACTTTTTTGTGCCCTGTAATGCACACCTTTTAAACTTGGTAGTCAATGCCTGTTAATTGTCTGGAAGCAAATGGTTTCTTCAGTTTGGTTCAACAGGTCTATAATTATTTCTTTGCACTGGCCATGTATCAGACTTAGGCATAACTGTTAAGCCATTGATTGAAACAAGTTGGGAGAGTCGCATTGATGCTTTGAAACCACTGAGCTATCATCTTGGAAGTATATATGATGCTTTAATAGAGATGCTTGATGACACAAGCCTAAACGATTTATCTGGAAATACTTCCTGAACTGAAGCTAAGGCCCTTGCTGATACAGATTATAAGTTCAAGTTTGCATGGTACAACATCCTTCTTGAAGTCAGTCTTACAACCAAGCTTCTATAAAACAAGGAAGCTGATTTAAATTAAGCTACAAGCCAATTGCAAGTAACCAAGAATTGCCTTGTGGGCTGCAGGTGTGATGATGGATGCTACTGAGCAAGTTTTGGTAGATGCTACTGTTCAAACCTCCAGTCAATCATGAAGCTTACTAGGTGACCTTTGTCCTGTTACTGTCAAATAGGCCTACCTTGCAGGGTCACAGTGAGGATAAAATGAAGAGGGAAAGAAGCATGTGTCTCTCATTGCTCAAAAGATTTTGATAGTCTTATTAAAAATACTAAACAATGTTAACCTTGTATGTTAGCTTAGATTGGCAGCCACTGAGCTCTAGGGCTGGAAATGGTGATTTGTAGGTTATTAATCTCCTGCCAACCTAGCAGTTCAAAAGCACGTCAAAGTGCAAGTAGATAACCTTCTGGCGGGAAGGTAAACGGTGTTTCCGTGTCCTGTTCTGGTTCGCCAGAAGCAGCGTAGTCATGCTGGCCACATGACCCGGAAGCTGTATGCCGGCTCCCTCGGCCAATAAAGCGAGATGAGCACCGCAACCACAGAGTCGGTCACGACTGGACCTAATGGTCAGGGGTCCCTTTACCTTTAATCAATGAAGAGACTGAGCCCCATATTTGCTATCTACTGTTGCCCCGCAGAGCCGTATACAGATTTCAGCCCTCTCCTCTAGCCTTCGGGGAGAAACACACACACACACACACACACACACACACACACACACACACAATTTCTGGGAACCAGATGTTGTCAGGGCCTGCTTTTGTGCTCCTTGTTGTAATATTGTTGTGTCTGGGAGCAGCAGTGTCGACAGGTTCATGCTGGAAACTGAATTGTTGCCATGCTCCATTATTTGGCTAGAGGCTGTTGTGTCTCTAGACAAACCAGTTTTGCAGGGTTTTTAACCTGGATGCTGGAGAATCTAAAATTGCCCCCATAAACACGGCTGGCGCTGCAGTTTTGGTTGGAGTGACAGTAGCAGACACTTATTGGAATAATGCCCATGACCAGTAAAGCAAGAGCAAGGTTTGCAGCACCTTACAAGCACCTTTACTATGGCATAAACTTTCATGGTCTAGTGTCCACTTTGTCTGAATGAGGCAGGAAGTGTAATCCTTGGTTGTCGGTGTATATAGACTGTGGTGTGTGTGCGTGGGTGTGGAAGCAGTGTGATCAGGGGAAAATGAAAAGTAAAAAAGTACAGATGGTGACAATTCAATTAGGACTAGAATGCATGCAAAATAAGCATAGCAACCCTTTTCTAAAGAAGCAAAAGGTGATAAAAACACTCAACTTATTACAGTGGTACCCCGCAAGACGAATGCCTCACAAGACGAAAAACTCGCTAGACGAAAGGGTTTTGCGTTTTTTGAGTCGTTCCGCAAGACGAATTTCCCTATGGGCTTGCTTCGCAAGACGAAACGTCTTGCGAGTTCTTGCGAGTTTGTTTCCTTTTTCTTAAAGCCGCTAAGTCGTTAATAGCCGCTAAGCCGTTAATAGCCGCTAAGCCGCTAATTAATTTCGGGTTAATTTCGTCTTGCGAGGCACCACTGTAATGCGGAGTTAATATAACAACTGCGGTGGAACACTGTATGCTTTCTTTGCATACATTCCTTCTATACATTGGGCTTGTCACATTTCATTTTCCTCTGACCTCGTTGCCCGGTACTTGCAGCTGAGGGTGTCACTCCATGCCTCTGATGAAGCGAGCAACAAATTCGTTGTTACTGTTTCCCCTGCAACACAGACGACTCTTCTGAAAAACATGACCAGAGCATAAGAAGAGCCCAGCTGGATGAAGCCAAAGACCCATCTAGCCCTAAGGTCCCGTTTGCACATCGGCCAGCCATATGCCTATGAGAAAGATGCAAGCAGAACCTCAGTGCAACAGACATGATCAGAAAACAGTATTTGGAGGCTTACTGCCTCCAGTAGCCATAGTGGCTAGTATCTCCTCACAGTCTTATCCTCCATGAATTTGTCATTTAAAGCCATCCAAGTTGGTAGCCATCACTACCTCTACTTCGTGAGGACCGACAATAACCCATTCCCCCTGCAATGTCCAGAGTAATTCATAGGAGCCAACTCCAAGGGGGCAAGGTGTTGGGTTGAAATAAACGACAGACGAATGACAAGTGTCATATGGGAGGCATCTCTCGAGCATGTCTCGGGGAGTCCCTTTTATTGAATATTACAGCATTACCACATGTGCTTGTTGCTGATTGGATAACACAAATACAATGCAAGGGTTGCATATAGGCATTAATCATCAATAGATTAAAGGTTGGGAAAGGGAACACATGGTTGGACAGGTATGAAAACCTCCTTATTAAACAATTACTAGTGATATTGCAAAACTTAAAAGAGCATAACTATTGCATTCCGTAGATGTGGTCAACCATGCATTAAGAACAGGTCAGGGTACGATGTATCATGAACTCAATGTGAACTAAACATTCTAGGGTGGGTGAGGAAGGAATGCTTCAGCTTAGAGCGGTTTGCCAGACTCATGTGCAGAAGCAGAACTTCCCATCAGCAAGGGGTCTTCAGCAGCCCCCCCCCCATAAACTATTTGAAGGGGCATTGCCATTCAACTGGTATGCATGCACTGTGTCATGTGATCGATTATGGGGGGGGGCTTACCTGCTCCCCCAATATTTTATTCAAGTTGGCACCCCTGTATCGGATACATTTTTAAATAAATAAATATTCACCCAGGTATTCATTTTTAAAAGAAAAGAGAGTAGGAAACCATGCAAACCGTCCCTTGGATGTGAAATTGATGAAGAAGGAGTTGCTTGCTAGCCAGGCTTGTTAGTTACCCCAGGCCAATAGTGCCTGTTATTGGGAGGGGGAGAGGGAATCCAGAGGAGCCAGGGTCCTTCTCCCACATCAGCAGTTCTCTCCTCTGCATCCCCCATGATGTTTGAATAACTTGCATCCTGCCAGTGCCACTACAGCAGTCTGGGCGACAGTCTCTTCCATTCCCCCACAGAAATAACTGTCTGCAATACAATCCCCGAGCTTCCTGGGCACCACCCATTCCCTACCGAATTTCTGCGGCATCACCAGGCTTGTGATCATCTTCATCCCTCCTGCCTACCACCTGCTCTGCCCTTTCATTGTTTATTCAGCATCTTGGCTAGCAGCAGCAGCATTCTGTCAATGTGTTAGCTAAACAAAAGCCCTTCTCAAGACTTTGGTGCTGTGTCAATAAATCGGGTGTTGCATTCAGAGGTGCCACAGATTGAAGTTTAGAAGAGAAGAGGCTCCCTCCAAAGACGAGAGTGTGTGAGTAAGCGTGCCGGGCTTAACAGCTTTTCCTTCTCCCCAGTGGCGATTGCAACAGGATTGCAACAGCCCAGCCTAGCTGAGCCACTGCACGTAGTACGGATGTGTCTGCAGTGCTAACTTCGAGAGAAGACACGAGGCAGGGATTCTCACAATGGTTTCCTGAGCTCTGATAGCAGCCTGGTTTTCACTGGAAGAATTTCTTCCCCTGCTCATTGTACTCTTAAGGCTTTGTGGAGTTTGCTCAAGTTCGAGAAAGAGGACAACCTACCTGAGTGGTTTATCACAAGCAGCCCTGGCTTGAATGTGTGCTTGTCACTTCCTTATTTAGTTTGCATTTCCTGCCTCTGCCGTGCATGGTAAAATTCAACATAATAATTTTAAAATACCGTATTTTTTGCTCTATAAGACTCACTTTTTCCCTCCTAAAAAGTAAGGGGAAATGTGTGTGCATCTTATGGAGCGAATGCAGGCTGCGCAGCTATCCCAGAAGCCAGAACAGCAAGAGGGATTGCTGCTTTCACTGCGCAGCGATCCCTCTTGCTGTTCTGGCTTCTGAGATTCAGAATATTTTTTTTCTTGTTTTCCTTCTCCAAAAACTACGTGCGTCTTGTGGTCAAGTGCGTCTTATAGAGCGAAAAATACGGTATTTCTCCCAATATTGGTTCCACAATAATAACACAAGACTGTTGCTGAGTCACAAGAGTGTTTCAAAGGCACCTGAATCCCAGTGTATGTCTGCTCAGAAATAAATCGCATGCTGTTCAGTGAGGCTTACTCCCAGGTAAGTGTGTATAAGGCATCAAATACACAGTTGCCTGGGACACCTTTCCCAGCCCCAGTCACTAAGGGCCATGACAGAGAGCAATCTCCAACAAAGTCTTGTTTCCTGGGCGGAACTCGGTTATTGGCATCTCCTCCCCCCCCCCATTAGTTGTTCAGCTTCCCTTTTCTGATAGCTACTTGGTAAATTTTATCTCAGTTACAGATGTTGGAAGCTGCCTTATACTGAATTGCAGGGGCAGCCCTAGACATTTTGCTGCCTGAAGCAAAATGTCCCACTCAACTTCCTCCTAAAGTCAATAATGACAGAGACAGACACAACTTGCCAGGGAGGGCATGCCACAAATGGGGAACCACCACTGAAAAGGCCCTGTCAAGTGTCAATGACAACCAAAAATAGAAGCCACCTATTTTTGACAACACAGGAAGTATTTCGGGCAGCAGTTGTGGGGAAGTGAAATGGAAGATGCTGGGATGTCAGGGTTTCTAGAAGGATGCTCTGAGTGCAATAAGCTTCCCAATATAATTACTGCAAATTCATTTTAATGTGACTATATATTCATGAGTAAAACTCTAATGTGATGGCATCATAACTGGCATGTCCACATTCACTCATCCTTTTGGATTTATCTCATTTCCTTGCTGCTTACCAGAAGCAGAAGCACAACTCTGACCTACTGTCTTTTTTCATCCTAACCCACCTCAAGGACCATGTTTGGTATGAGTGAACACTGTCCTCTGGGTAGACAGCTTGTGGCAGTGGCCCAGTTAATATGTCCCAAGTGGAGCAGTCACATACCACCCCGCCCCCCGCCTCTGGCCCTGTGTGGAGCAGTTCCACAGTCACGGAACATATCAGCCAATAGAACCATGCCACAGGTTAATATCCACATCACAAGGAATACCCTAATGTTAGAAGAAGAAAGGAGGAAGGCATAGGTGAAACTCAACAGGAGTTCCATCATGATACTCATCTGCATTAAGTCAATAGGTGAGGGACACGTTCTGGGTCACCGCCTCAAAGGGTGTGCACTTAAGATAACACAGTCAGATTCCAAGATATCTACATGGTCTATTGGTTGCGTAGCATGAAGATAAGATGCACATTTGTGCTACATATATGGTAGTGCTTTCCGTTTGAGAAATGGTTTTGTGTATTCACCTTTGACCACCATTACCAGTGTGTCATGCCTTCAGCTCTGTTTGCTTTTGAAAACTTCATTTATACTGCCCTGACCTATTTTAGATAAATGGGCTCTTGGAAAGGCTTAAAAGAAATAGCAAGGCAAAGTTCCATGCATTTTACCAGAATGTAGAGCATGACCTCTCCCCACCACTGTAATCCAGAACAAAACTCTTGAGGTTGAACAAGGTCAACAAAAACCCAGCAAAAGGAAATGCTTATTAGACACATGCATGGTTTTATCTGTGGAACTGCCCTAGGATGTATTCTGCCCACCTAACATATATGGTTATAATCCATGACTGCCAAAAATGCAGTCTTCATTTCCAGAGATAGGCTATCTTTGACTGTTGCTTCCTAGAATTCCTCCATCTCATCCTCATTGTTGATAGAAAGCTAACATTGAGCAAGAACCGGTCTGACTCAACACAGCAGTCCTTGTCTTCTTTCCTCCTATAACAGCTTCCTTCCTCCTATAAGATCATAATGGTAGTTTGAGGATCCACACTGAAGTTCATTCTTACAATCCTAATGAAAGGCATAGTCTGAACTAATGAATACTTAGAAAAATGTACTTCCCAAGGACAAGCAGTTGCCTCCCTTCATTTTTCCACTACATTATTTTATCATCCCAATCTACATACACATGCACACTCCAAAGCCTTAGTTTTCTCTAAAGCTAGAATCCCAAAAGTTGGCTCAAAAACCATTCCAAGCAAGTGAGAGGAAGCTGGGGGGCGGGAATGAGGCTGTTTGTGAAATGGCAGATTCTCTGTCACTTCCAGGTACGAAACAGCAGCAGACAAATCTGGCAAGACAGAAATCAGTCACCCACAGACTGGATTTCTCCCAAGAGCTGCCTGTTGCTTCCTGCTGGTTGTATGAGGAGGAAATGAGTGAATATTGTGTTGGAGATGTTATTGTAGTGCCAAGAGATGCTTAGGAAATCTTGGTACGAAGCAGAAAATGTCAGTATTATTGGCAGAGGCCAACAAAACGTTTCTTTGCATGTTCTTCCTTTTCATGGTACCATCGTAGTGGAATGTAACACCTCAGAGGTGCAAGCTTTCCTAGGAGTGAAGTTAGTTAAAAATGTAAGGCAGTCAAGATTATAGTTTTTTATTCTCCTTTCATACCTTGGGGGGGGGGGGACTGTTTGGACTCAACATGTAGCATCTGTTCCAAATCAGTTAGTAAAGATTCAGTTTCAACTTACCTTTTTGTCTTTTTTTATTTTTTAATTAAACCTGGTGAGAATTGTAGGTGACAATTTAGTTTTAGCAAATTAAAAATGCTGACCAGAATTGGCAACTGCTGATACCAACTGCTCAAGGGACATGATCAGGTGCATTGCCTCTCTCACGCCTCACAATTATATCCTGAACAGTAGCGAGGACTACTTGGCAGGCTAGGCAAACACACAAAGCAATATATCCACTGGAATTTTGCACACTGCTTCCAGTGAAAGAGCAATGACAAGGTGGCACTAGAGGGCTCCATTCTGGGAGCACCGCCTGACCCCACCATCACACATGCTAGCATATCTCCATAATCATTGGGATCCCATGTTTCTGAAACGTCTTCTCTAGTATTATGCTATAATACACAGGCCTCTGGATTGCTGCCAACCATCACTACACTTTCGGCGGGTGAGGGACTATCCTTTGCAATCTCACAAATTAAGTTTTTAAACAACAGATCAGCGCTGCTCATTGCAATTTGACATTTCACAAATCCAAAGAGATGCAGACAACATTCAGGAGAAAACAATAAATGACACAAACAATATAATAAGCCATTATATGCTTTGCTCAGACCACAATCCAAACAATATCTGATTATTATTTACAGAACTGTGTTAAAAATCTGGTCTCTTTGGGATAATAGATGAGTTGGGTCACTTCAATGTAGAAAATAGTGTGCAATATTCAGCATTTATAATTTGTTTCCTTTCCATTCTTTATTTCTGGAAGTCAAAAGGAAATTGGTCAAATAACTAACTGATATTAAGAACAGTTTGTCTCTTTGCTGCTTCAGATTCTTAAATCTGCAGCCTCTAAGGTTTTTTGTTTGTTTGTTATCACTGTAATCATTGTAATCTAAAATAATAAGAGGTGTTGTTTCATTTCTTCACTTCAGGATTAGTATGCACACAGAGGAACTAACCTGTTGTGCATTTTCTAAACTAGAACCACTTTTGCATTTAGAGAGCAATAAATTAACTATACAATAGCCTGGTCCCAGAATCACTGAAGGGCTCTCTCGTCCAATCTAAGCCTGCCCAGTCACACTGATTGTTGCTCCATGTTTTCCTGACCACACAGGAAACAGCCTTCTCAGAATTTGGAATTCTTTCCCCTGGGAAGCCTGTTTGTCGTCTTCCTGCTGTTCTGATGTAAAGGATGTTTGAAAATCATTCTTCCAAATGACACTTGGAAGCATAGTACTGGCTGCCACTGTATTTGCAGTGTCTGCTGCTCCTCGTTGCTTTAAATAATTTTACTGCTTTTTATGCTTTTTAGGTTTGTGTTAGCATTTGTTTTGGCTTTGTACCAGGTGGAATAGAAATGCTAATTATTAACAGCAACTACTACAATACAAAACACTGAAAAATATGGATGATTGCATGGTAATGAACTCTGATCAATAATACCAAGGTAGAGTTGTGGCCTGCTTCTCCAAGGCTTGGTTCCAAATAAAAAAAAAGTAACCTTGATTAGTACGTTTTGCTTGGTTTCTTGCAGCTGTAATATTGAAGTTAATCTCCGTTACTGGGTAGCATACCCTCCAGCATGTTGGGTCTCAAAACTGGGGTGCATGTCTTCCTGTCTGAGCTCCCACACAAGTCATGTGACCCACACAAGACCACAGAGCCCAAAAGACATGCTTTTTAGGGCAGTGCTCTCACAGCACCCCAAAACACACATTTTTGGGGCCGTGCGTGAGATTGCGCCCCCCCAAAAGTGTTTTTTCTGGGGCGAGATCCTTGGCGCAAAATTGCACAAGATCATGGTGCCCAAAATGGCTGCCATGCTCTCACAGGAAATAATGGGATGTGCCATGGTTTTCCGGGACACTTGTGGGGTTTGGGGTAATAGGCAGGCTGTTTATGTATCAGGCCTGTCTTCCCACAGGCAGAATTGGCGTAGAAAGCTAGAAACAATGGTAGCCCATGGTGCTAAGAGCTGGAGTCAGGCTCCATTTGGAACTTGAGGAACAGGTGAGGGAGTAGGGGAGTCTGGGCTGAGAAAGGTAGTTTAAGCAGCAGAGCCATCCCGACTTGCTTGCCTACGTCACCAAAAGTATATATTTTAAAAATGCGCAGTACTGGAACATAGGAAACTGCCTTATATTGAGTTGGATCGTCTTTTCCTGCTTCTAGTTCACTACTGCCTGCACTGATTAGCAGTAGCTCTCCAGGGTTTCAAACAGAAGTATTTTCCAGCCCTATCTAGAGATGCCAGAGATTGAATCAGGGACCTTTTGCCTACAAAGCTCGTGTTGAACCGCTACAAAGCTGTGGCCCTTCCCTGACTGGAATTTGATCTATCCTACACAGGGCTATACATGGCTGCCAGCCATTCAGGAGTCAAAAAGGAACTGAGTCATAAGGACGACCCAGATAAATTTGTGTAGAACTTCGAACACTTGAAATGAGCCATACGAATGCTGAGTAGATGATCTTCCTACTTGCCAGGCTTTCTACAGTAGCTGTCAGTAAGGCCTTCAAGTCTAGACAATTCCAGATGAAAGTCCCACAGGGGCCTATAATCTGGACTGAGGCTATCACAGGCCCGAAGTCTCACCAACTCGTTGTCGAGAAGTGGAAGTCCCGCTCCAAGAGAGCAGAAGGGGATGTCCCACAGTGCACAACACACAGCTACAGTTACCTTGCTGAAGCCCTTTCCACTGACCCTACACCTCCAACAACCTGGCGATTTGACCACAAGGCTCCCATGAGCCGGCTGTGAGTCTTGACCCACCATTTGGGGATTGCTGACACATGCAACGTTCAGAAAAGAGAGAGTTTCACTGAAAGCTGTACCCTGGAAATGAACTCCACTAATCAACTGTTCATGATTCCAACAGATGTTTCTGTTTATCAGACAATTGGATCCTCATGTTCAACCCCTGTGTTCCTTCCCCCCCTTCCTCTTTTAAGACAAGAAGCAAATGCCACTACACATCTGAAGCTTCAGAAACTTGCCATATGATACGAGGAACAAATTGCTAAGCCAGTCAGTAATGCTAAGGTTTGAAGTGGTGGTCCATCAAAGCTGCAGCAGGGGGAAAAAAGGAGGGCTTGGGGTGGAGGGGGGGTGCTGTACTACATCTCTGTGGTTTTGTTCATAGTGTGTCTGGAATTTTGAAACATCAAATGGACTCTGAGTAAACTTTCTTTTTCCTCTTTCAGAAGTATTGTTTTAGGATGCAGAGATAATGTTCTGTGATTATTATTATTATTCTAAAAAACGGAAATGAGTCTTGGTTTGGTCAAAACCACAACTACAAAAGGAGGTTATTGTTTCTCATGATCCTCTACAATCTCACATCTCATGAGAAAGTACTCACTTGGGTGACCAGAACACCAAGAAATATTGAAGCAAAACCTTTGCTTTGTTTGTTTGCAGAGACCTCGTAAAAATCGGGGCTTTCTTGTAAGCTTCTCTTCTATTTAGGAATGACTAATCAGTGTGCAGGATCAACTTCTGTCACATCACTCTGAAGAGGAGCAAAATGTCTGATGGCTCAAAAGGATGTGGTTTAACCGCATGCCACCAAAACCAAAGATGAGGAGCGAAGACTAAACACCTGTTGGGCCCAACACAACAAAGTGATTCAGTTCTGCAGGCACTGGAGACAGAATTTCCTTGGAAATAAGTTAGCTCTTGCACAAACAGCTTTCAGTGACTAATGCCAAAGGTACTCCACTCTCTGCCCCCGCTTTCACTTCTGATCCGTCATCAATTGTTTCCTGAGTTTATCTTGGCGGAGTAGCTCAGTTCAGGAACGTATTACTATTCACAGTGCACAACTGAACAACTTAAAGGTAGGGTTCCCCACCTCTAGCACTGAGTTGGAATAACTGGCAGCACCTTCAGACCATCGGGGCCTGTCCTAATAGGTTTTTGATGCCTAAGGCAGAAAATCTGAATAGAGACCTCAGGCCGTGATTTATTTATTTATCCCAATTTATATGCTGCTTGATTAAAAAGCATACTACAAGCTCCAAGCAGTTTACATAAAATAATATAAAAACAGTCATCAGAAAAGACTGATAAAACCTTACTGAGAAAAGAAGACATAATAAAATTATCAAAATATAGATACGATCAACAAATATATAACAAATATATATATTACAAATATATATATTTCATATCTGGGTAGGTTTGCCTAAACAGAAAGGTTTTTAGCAGTCAGTAGACATAGTACAAAAAAAGGTACCTGCCTGGTTTTAAATGGCAGTGATGCATACCTTCTCTTGTGTGACCAAAGACTATTAAAGTCATTTGTTTAACTGCAAGCTCACTTTTTAGAAAACCTAAGTACAGGAACAAAAAAAAATACATGTTTTGTCAAGCGAAAAGCAAGAGAAAACACATATAAATTTTTAAGTGTTGCTTGCCTGGGGTGGCACTTGCCCCCTACCCATCCCTGGCACCGCCATGACTACCCAAAGGCATGTCAACTCTCCAGCAGAGAAGCAGAATACCTGAAGGTCAGCCAGTGACATTGGAAATGCATAGTTCCAAGCCAAGGCCTTCTTGCTAGCACTCAGATGAGGGACAAGGCTCAGGCTCTGAACAGGCCTGCTTTTTTTTTTGCTTCTTCAGGCACATCAAAGCTCAGGCCAGAGTCAAAGCAGCACCTGTCTTCCTTGGGAGTTATCCTAGGTCCTGAAGGACCTGTCCTTGGTTTCTGGAGCCTGTTCTAGCTAATTGTTGTTGTGTGACTTCCAGCTCAGTCCCCTGTGGGATGGCAGCCTGGCTGAAACAGGATACATGGTGCATGTGAATTCTCCCTTGGTATGCCAGCCACACTAATATAATAGCTTTGCTCCTGATATGCTAAGAGGCTCCTGAATCCTTGCGACAAGGCAAGGCTAAGCTCTTTTAGCTGATTTCTTTTTTTGGATAAGATATACTACAGGATATTCTAAAGAAACAGGAAAATCAAATGGTTCTTTAAAACCAACAACCTTAGCATTTCTCTAAAGGATAAAAGAGAGGGGGCCATCCCCATGAGATAAGGGGCCACTAACCTCTTTTTCCAGAAGCAAGGCCCATTGTGTTCAGTGGGATCTACTTCCATGGAAGTGTGCATGATTCTAGCTAAGGTCCCGTACCCCATGAAAAACATTTTCATTTACCCAGTCGTTTTTTTGACTGAATGATATTCCCGGCAACCTGAAATTATTAGCTGTGGGGCAGATGTGATTGTTTTTAGATGTTCTTAATTGTTTTAAATAAGTTTTTATTTTATCTTCAGTTGTATTGTTTAACTACTCTGACACCTTGCCTGGGCTCCTTTGGGAGGAAAGGCGGGAGAGACATTTAATTGAAGAAATAAAATAAACGAAAGTTGAAACAATTCACTTTCTTTCTTCTTTTAATTTTAAATTTTTATTGGAATTTTATTTACAGCATAACACAACCCCCCACCCCCCAATACACATTAAATGTGAACATAACATACAGTGAACATAACATACAACAATACAAACAACCAAATAAAAGACTTCCTTTATCCTGTATCTGGCCTCCTTATTTACTTCTTATAAACTGTGTCCTTTATGAATAATTATTAAGATTTTTCTAATTATAACTTAAATATCCACAAAGTCTCCTGCAGTCATTAATCGAAACAAGTCCAGGTATGTATTTTAGGGCACTGTTTTGTGAAGTATTCTCTGCATTTCCCCCATGCTTTTTGAAACTCTTGTCTAGTGTGATCTCTAATTGCCTCTGTTAAACCAACCAGTTCAATATACTCTTAACATTTTATCTTGCCATTCCTTTTTGAAACAACTCACTTTCTACTGTCTCTCCGACTGCTGTTTGAAATATTTGGGATGGGAAGTGCTGCTCTTGTTCCTCTACTAGAAAAAGCCCCAAGAGCCGGGTGACTTATACTTGGTGCTGTGGAGATCGAAGGCATCTTTTGTGACTCATGCTGAACTGTCAAGATCATCCAGCAGCAGCCTCTGTTTAGTGGGCCAGGCATCCACTCACTGCTGAATGTGTGCCAGCAGTTGGCATGAGGACTGGGAGCCCTGAGAGGCTGTTTCATTGCTCAGGCCACTGGCACTTCCTTTTGGTGGTTGCCTTCCTGCCGGAAGGCTTGGTTCTTCGGCTGTGTTTTACTTTTTCTTTTGCACATTTGGATCCTGAAAGTTTGATTCAGACTTTTCTGTTTCCTGTTCAATTTATGGCTCTGTTTTTGCTGATGATTAGGCCCCAGAACCAGCTGTTCTGCTGATGAAGATGTCCTCAATTAATTCTAGCCTGTCTGGTTTTCCAGGAAGTCCGTTTGTCTCCCCCAGCCCCCTTCTCTTGTCATCCCTGACTGAAATTTATCAGAGCCCCAGCAGGCAGGAAATTTGCTTCTTTTACAAAAACATACTCCTCTGCTTCTTATTTTTATTGTTTTAATATTTTCCAGTGGTGGGGCTGGGAGACAAAACCTGCTTCCTCTTTAGAAAGCTCGGTTAACCTCTGAAGTGCTTGTTTCATTCATCACGGGTTGCTGTGGCTCCTGGTCACTTGCAATGGAATTCGTTTCCAGAGTAATCTGAAATTTGTGTTAGTGTTCAAACAAACACGCACGACGTGATCCTTCAAAGGCTTCCGCTGCCTCCAACTTCACGAAGTTCTCTTTGTTTTGAAGTCAGATTGCTGTACACATCCTTACAGACTGAGGGGCCTAAAACCCAATCTTTTGGTGCTCAGGGAATAAAGGTGGGTTTCTCAGTTCCATATATGTGTCCTGGGAGGTAGGCAGGGGTGATTAAAACTGGAATAATACAGTGGTACCTCGGGTTAAGAACTTAATTCGTTCTGGAGGTCCGTTCTTAACCTGAAATGGTTCTTAACCTGAGACACCACTTTAGCTAATGGGGCCTCCTGCTGCCGCCGCCCTGCCACCACACGATTTCTGTTCTCATCCTGAAGCAAAGTTCTTAACCCGAGGTACTATTTCTGGGTTAGCAGAGTCTGTAACCTGAAGCGTCTGTAACCCGAGGTACCACTGTACTTCTGTGACAGACAGAAAATTGAAATTTGCTACAGATGTGCTCTAAGTGGAGAAAAGGCTGTCACTCAGCATGTAGAGAACCTGTTTTGCATGCAGAAGGTCCTGGTTTCACTCCCTGGCATTTCTAGGGAGGGCTGGGAGAGAACTCTGCCTGAAACCCTGTATCATCATCTGTATCATTCCCATTTCAGTATACGTGCTGTCAAAGCGAGCATGATACCTCCTGCCTGTCAGTATAATACAACTCCCTTCCCATGTTCCTAAGGTACACTGAATGTCAGAAAGTCAGATATTATTTTTGTTGGCATCTTTCTGTCTCGAGAGACAATGGAGTGCTCTTCTAGGGATGAAGTCAAACCACTGTGTTAGCAGTACGGAAGTGACCTGCCTGGGGCACAAGCCTCCTCATGGTCTCACTCATGTGGTCTAAAGGAAAGCAGAACAATACATTTGGCATTAGCTTGGCTGCAGGAATTGCTGGAAGGAGGCATACAAGGCATCATTGAGCCATCTTAGGGAGTCCATATTTGTGTAGGGTTTACTCCTTGGCCTTTTCTTCTCCCAAATATATCCCACAAGGCAGCAGAGGTTTAGGATCAGAGTTTTCCTTCTCCTAGATGGGGCTCATCAACCTGGGAAGTTAGCCTATCTGCCCCTGTGTGGTCTGCCTTCCCAGGTTGATGAGCCCCATCTGCCCCTCACTTCCCTCTAAAGCACATGAAGAAACCACCTTCTTGACCATTAGACCCACTATTGGTCTCATCCAGTCAATCCACTGGAAGCTGTGTCTGTATACAGGGGAAGTCCCAAACTTACTGAGGGCTTGAGATCCATCAGCAACCCTCACCTGGTTCAGCCAGCCAATCGAAGCTGTTCCTGGGGTGTGGCTGCTGTGTGGACAGCTTCTAGGAGCCACAGATTAGAGCTGAGTGGGGTGGGGACCAGTTGGGGGAGGGGACCTCATCCATTTGTCCTCTGGCACACAGCCACTTCCTTCATTACCCTAATGACCCATACTTAGGAGGCCATTACCAAGAAGCTGTCCTGGCTATTCCAGCAATTTAATCCTTGCTGAATGCAGGAATTACAAAGGACTCAAACCACACACAAACCCGCAAACTCACAACTACAGTGGTGCCCCGCAAGACGAATGCCTCGCAAGACGGAAAAACCGCTAGACGAAAGGGTTTTCCGTTTTGAAGTTGCTTCGCAGGACGAATTCCCCTATGGGCTTGCTTCGCAAGACGAAAATGTCTTGCGAGTCTTGAGATTTTTTTTCGCTTTCCCCCCCCTTTATCTAATCTGCTAAGCCTTTAATAGCCTTTAATAGCCTTTTAGCAGCTAATCCCCTAAGCCTTTAAGCCTTTAATAGCCGCTAAACAGCTGATAGCGCTAATAGCGCTAATCCGTCAATGGGCTTGCTTCGCAAGACGAAAAAACCGCTAGACGAAGACTCTTGCGGAACGGATTAATTTCGTCTTGCGAGGCACCACTGTATATAGAGGGCAAGGTTAGCATCAACATTAGAGGAATGGACATTTAAGGATCACTTATACACAAATAGATTTTGTTATGTGACCAGCCATGACAATGGTGTACAGGAGCCACTTTTGCTGAGATTCAATCCCGTATGACTGGAGCTTATCTATGAATGACATAGTCATATGTAGGGGCTGACTTTGGTAATATAGTGCCCAGAGTGAGGACAAAATCCCCCCCCCATCTTATTTTCACAATAATTCATTTTGGTACAGTTGCTTTTTATGCACTTTTTCAATAGGTACCTCTATAAATATTGGTGTTGTTATTGTCGTTTTGCACTCCTTGGCTTGGTGCCCTGTGCAGGGTGTCTGCCCATGCCCCACTAAATCTGGCACTGCCATACAGACAGGGCAGATTGGAAGGTTCTTTCTATTCAAACCATTGGTGCCAAGGAGAAAGAAGCCATGATATACCCTGCCCACGTGGTTACCTCATTCCCCAAACCATGTAGGAGCACAAAACAGAAAAGCAGTTCCCATGTGGCTATAAAAAAATGGCATAGCCTTTCCCTCTTGATCACATCCATAACGCCCACATGTGCCCCAAGTCTGCGGATCTGAATCTAGAACGTTTCCCTGGGTGGCTATTTCTCCTGCAAGACATAATGCAAAGCAAAGGGGAAAGTAGAAGCAAATTTCAGTGTTTTCTGCTTCTCTTAAACTGCCTGAACTGAAGCCTGTATTATTTATGATATTTTGTGGCCATCCTTGAACCGTATCCCTTTGTAATAGCAACGGGGAGGTTTGGCTTGCACAATGGAGTCCCCCCCCCCCATCTCTGAGGCTGAAGGGAATGGTTTAATGGCTTCCTTCTATTGTCTTATCTCTTGCTATCTTCTCCGCCACTAATGGTCTTTGTTAGAAATTTTATCGACAGTGTGTTTTTTGTTCCCGGAGAACAATAAAGTGAATACTGCTTAGCCAATCAGTTTGGAAAGTACATATGGAAATCTTTAGGATTGCAAAACAGCTCCAAAGGATATTAGTGTGCTGGCTGCTCCCAGCATAGCAAATATTTGGTTTGCGATAGAAACCAAATATACAGGATTAGGCCAAATAAGATTCCATCTGGGTGGAAATTCACATAGATTTATGCTGGCCTCATCGGATATCAGCCAGATAAGGGAATACTTCTCAAACATAGTCCTGTCCTGATCTGTCCTTTAAAGGAGGAAAAAGTTGCTATTTTCAGCACATAATACAAGGCCTATGTCCACATTATAGATTTAAAGAACTAGTATACCAGTTTAAAGAGTCATGGCTTTCCCCCCAAATAAATCCGGGGAATAGTCGTTTGTTTAGGGTGCTGAGAGTTGTTAGGAGTTACAATTTCCAAGGTTCCCTGGAGACAGGGATTGATGGCTAAACCACACTGGGAACTATAGCTCTGTGAGTGGAACTGGGATCTCCGAACAGCTCTCAGCAGCCTTTAGCAAGCTATGATTATCCCATGATTCTTGGGAGGAAGCTATGACCGTTGAAAGTGGTGTGATGCAGCTTTTAATGTATGATGGCCTAAGGCTCAAGCTACACTTTATGTTGACAGCCATATATAAAAGTAGATGGGACGATTTTAGAGCATAAGGAGTGAATTGGTGGGGGTTGCTAAACCATCCTCTCCCACCTTCCACAACTTAAGGCCTAGGACCCTTGTACCTACGGGACCGTCTCTCCTGGTTTGTCACACGGAGGACCTTACGGTCTGCAAATAACAACACCCTGAAGATTCCGAGCCCCAGGGAGATTAGACTGGCCTTGACCAGAGCCAGGGCCTTTTCGGCCGTGGCCCCAGCCTGGTGGAACGCTCTCTCACAAGAGACCAAGGCCCTGCGAGATTTGACATCCTTCCGCAGGGCCTGCAAGATGGAGCTGTTCTGCCAGGCCTTTGGTCAGGGTTCAGTCTGACTAATTTTCTCTTTGTATAAAAACAAGTATGAAGGAGGTTTCCCAGCCCGCTCACAGGACCTTATTATATCAGTGGAAACAGTTGGTCCTGGCGAGTATTAACCGCTTTCAATTTTAACCTGAGGATTGCCATTTGTCCAGTTTTAACTTTAATTTTAATTCATTTGAATTAATTTTGGGATGTATTTTAATCAATTGATTGCTTATTTTTATGCATATTGTATTATTTATATGATGTTAGCCGCTCTTCTGGTTGGGGAGGGTGGGGTACAAATAAAATTTTATTATTATTATTAACTTGCAGCCTTTCATGAAATTTCCCTTCTAGTGGATTCTGAACCTAGAAAAGGGCCAGACATGGAGAAAAGCAAGCCTCCCAATGCTTAGTCACTGCTGCTTACAGGGAGGATAGGGAGGGGCAAGGTGGTGGCGGCAGATCAGTGCAGTGCAAATGCATCAGCAGCAGCACTGGATTGGCACCGCTGGTGCATTTGCACCACATTGACTTCCCTGACGCCTTGCCCCCCTCCCAGTAAACAGCAGCGACTCAGCTGTGAGGAGGTCAGCTGAGTGCTGTCGCCACACCACTCCATCCACTACTGGGTTAACCTCCTTCATCCCCTAGTGCTGTGATTCTGATATGAATTCCCTCCTCCCCATCCCCAAGTCTGCTATTAAAACTAGTTTGGCTCTCATTGCATCATAAGCTCACTTCCACTTAATGTAAGCAATTAGATTTCAAGTGGCATTATTAATGAGGTGCAGACATTGATTTGCACCTACCCCCTATATGAGTGAGATAAACCACAGGCATTAACAGAAAACAGCTGGTAGCCACATTACTTTGCTATGACTTAATGTGCTTCTGTAATGATATTTTCCTTCTCCATCAACATTTTCCTGTGCCTTCATCTGTATATGTTTATGGGAAAGCAAGAAAAGTGTTGACATAGGATGAAAAGGCAGTTTGGGGTCTGCTGTACATGGAAAAATAATAAATATTGTTTCTTAACACTCTCTTTTAAAAATGGTGACAGTTTAGTTTTTTAAATACAACTTACGGCATTAATCCAAGATTGTTGGTAGTGGGGAAATACCAGAAATCAGAAAATTATCACATTCATTTAATTCACATTCTGACCAGTATAAGCAACCTGTGGCTTAGTAGAAGCTTATACATTTTCATTACGATTTGGAGCAGGAGGGGAAATTTTATCTAGGGGTGATTTTAACGTGCAAGTCCCAAGTCATGTTAGTCACCAGTGAACTTCAGGGATCTTGGCAGGAAGATAAGGACCCCGTATATATTTTTTTCATTGGTATTGCCCCCGCCAAGCAAATTCACACATGAAAAGAGGCTTTGTAGGTTTCCAAGGTCCTGACTTCACATTGTTTTCAGGTGGGGAGTGCTCCCCCAACCTTTGAATGACACAGTCCTTTTTTCAATTGCTGTTTCCAACTCATAGGGATACAGATATGTCAACCTACCCCCTCAGATGAAAAAGAAAACCAACAAGTTAAAGAGAAGGGGGTTTGGAATTCCTTAATTACACTATGCCACAACTGTTAACAACTACAGTGGTACCTCTGGTTACATACTTAATTCGTTCCAGAGGTCTGTTTTTAACCTGAAACTGTTCTTAACCTGAAGTACCACTTTAGCTAATGGGGCCTCCTGCTGCCGCTGCTCCGCTGCTGCACGATTTCTGTTCTCACCCTGAAGCAAAGTTCTTAACCTGAGGTAATATTTCTGGGTTAGCGGAGTCTGTAACCTGAAGCGTATGTAACCCGAGGTACCACAGTATTTTGTTGCTGTGCTTTACTCAAGCATCATGAACACGCTTTGGAATGTTCTCTCACCTTAAGGACTTCTGGGAGGAAAAACACAGTGTAGGAATGTAAAAGTAGCTTGTTTTCAACCACTCATAGCTGTCTGCTTCTCTTCTTCACTGTGCTTCAGGGCAGACATTGGCTTTGTAGTACAAAGTGTGCCAGCCAGGACTACTGAAAGGACACGCGGTTCCTAGAAACACACATGAATGTCGTCTGTCCCCTCAGTTTGGCTGCTGACTACCAGAGTTGTTAGCATCTTGTCTGACACAGACCTGCACCTAGCACCTGCCCCTTCAGTTTGCCAGCCACTGACTTGCACACTTCAGTTCTGGTCATCTTCTAGGGGTGGAGGAGAAATGCAATTCAGTACACATTTGAAGTCGAATCTATCAAATTCGCACTTTCCAAAACAATATACTTACCAAAACACAGCTAATCTTTGATAGTCACACTTAATTTTGCAGTGTGGCTCTCCAACTGACATTTACAAAAATGCATATATTTTGGGAAGTGTGCAAATACTACTACTACTACTACTAATAATAATAATGGAGACAATAGTGAATATGACATACAAGCGTGCATTATAGTAAGGAAAATTGCTTGCTGAAATTTACCCTCTCAGATGAAAAAGAAAAGGACTAATAGTCAAAACTGCATCTAAAATTGTGTTTATTACAACTTCACACTAAAATTCTGATTAATTTTCATAAGGATTTTTTAAAAAATTAAAAGTAAAGAAGGTGTTTTCTTTTCTTATTCAAGATAAGTAAATGTTATGACTTACTCAATATATTGCTCCATAGTTCTGCACCCAGGCTGCATTTTATATCCATATGCACTAGAGCCCCAATGCATCCACACACCCCCAGTCTGAGATTAGGGATATAAAAAGGGGGGGGGAATAGCAACCATTTCTGGTAAATAGGAGGCATGAAATAGCACGTGGGATTGATACACAGGGGAATGTTCCTGTCTTTCACTCATTTTTTAAAAGAAAAGCAAAGTCCAGGGTGTCTTCACTTGGCCAGCTGCTTGCAGGCTGGACAATGGCCTGTTGTTGTCAGGCACGTTTCCATAGATCTTCAGTTTTATTGCTCTGCTGGGGCTACCTGGATGTGGGAAATTGGAATAAATACTCAAAGAGGATGTCTTTAGCTGGTATTTTCAGCCAAATTGATATGAGTCCAAGATTTAATACTTCCTCGCTTTCCACTAACCACATGTTATTGCGAATAACATGTTTTCAGGAAATTGGAAACCACTACAAATGCCGCACACTTTGAACTGGAACATCACCTCTTAATGTGGGAATCAAAAGGCACCTGAAGCCTCATTATGTCCCGTTTTCATCACAAGAGTGAGCTCCATTTATCAAACAGGAAAACTGAAGTGCGGAAAGGATACATTGTTCTGTGTTAATACTGTCAGTTGTGGAGTGCTGTCACAGGACTCCCACCCAGTGCCTTGGCTACAGCCTAGCTGCAAGGGCGCCTTTATTCCTTTAGAATTTACTACTTGATCATATATATATATATTCTTAATTTGAAAGCACATTCTTATTGGAAAGCCACATCCTTAACTTCAAACATGTAATAATTGTTAGAGAATGACTTAATAGGAAGTACAACCACTGATGTGATATGAGAAGAAATCTTGAATAGTTGGAGCCCTGGGGTGCAGTTGGTGGGAGCTGCAGGGCACCTATGCTTAAAGGCTGTGGTTTTTAGTGGGCTTTGTAGAAGGTGAAAGACTCTGAGGTTCATTATCAAGGCTTGAAAAAGGCTCGCATATTTATAAATGAGAGCAAAATCCTATGCATGTCTAATCTTATTAATAATAATTAACATTCACAAATAAGTCCCATTATGTTCAAAGCACTTCCTTCCAGGTAAGTGAGTCCAGGGTGGAAGTTTTAGTGCTCTAAGCAAATGGCTTTCGCCCAGTAAATCGGATCATCTACCACCATCCACCCTGAATAGATCAGAGGATCATCAGTGTACACTGTACAAAACAACTCCCAAGTATTTACTCAACAGACCATGGGTATTTATTGACGTTATGCATCTTACATAATTATTCCCTGCTTTTTCAGGCAAGCCTTCACAAAGCAGCATACAATAGCATAACAAAAACCAAGCAACCAAAACCAACCAACCAATAATAGCAGCATTCTAATATGTCACAAATAAATACATACATATTATTTAAGAACATAAGAAGAGCCTGCAGGATCAAGGCAACGGACCAGCACTTTAGTCACACAGTGGCCTTTTGGAAGGCCAGAGGCAGGATCTGAGAACAACAGCTGTACTCTCCCCACCTGTGAATTCAGCCACTGGTATTGAGAGTCATTCTGCCTCTGATTGTGGGTGTATCATGTGGCACAGCAAGAAAGCCTCGGAGCACATGAGAATCTTTTGTCATATTCTGAGTATTTATGGTGCCCTACAACAATGCCTAAACATGCCTGCCATGTTTTGAAATTGGTATTTTACATGCCTAGCCCCAGTAGCTTTGTTTGGAACCTATAACGTCTCTGAACATAAAGGTATGCTCATAACCTAAGAGTAAGCTTCGATTAGCTTGTTCCAGATGTGGGGAGAGGGAAAAAGCTGTTAGAAATCTCCAGATCTTAATATTTAATAAGTATGCTCAGTGGCTAAAGAAAGGAGAATAGAGAGTCATGGCAAGAGTAACTGAAATTAAAGTTGCAGCCATATGCACACTTATGCATACCATATGCAAAAGCCTTGGACGAGGCAAGAATGTGAGACAGATTACCTCACTTTGGAGGTATTTGGACTGCTTCTGAAGCAACTTGGGTCTGAAGTAGTCTGAGGTGATTGAATCTCTCTGGAAGCAGCAGCAGCAGCGATGCTCAAGGCTCCCAAAGAAATGGCTTTGAAGCCACCACTACTTGGGACATGGTGTCCCACTGCTCAGTGGGTGGCTAACAGGATTCATCCGCTCACAAGGGGCTACTATGCCTGCAAATTTCAGCCAGTTCTGCCAAACAATTAAAAAGATGCAGGTGTTTGTTGATGTCTCATGTTAGTACAGCGGTACCTCAAGTTACATATGCTTCAGGTTACATACACTTCAGGTTACAGACTCTGCTAATCCAGAAATAGTGCTTCAGGTTAAGAACTTTGCTTCAGGATGAGAACAGAAATTGGGCTCCAGTGGCGCGGCAGCAGCAGGAGGCCCCATTAGCTAAAGTGGTGCTTCAGGTTAAGAACAGTTTCAGGTTAAGTATGGACCTCCGGAACGAATTAAGTACTTAACCTGAGGTACCACTGTAAGTGGGAATAACAAATGAGAATTCAGAAAACAAGATGAGACTCTATTTCATTTCTAAGGTGAAGCATGAAGTCAGCCCTACTGTTCTAGCCTCCCAGGCAACACACTAACTGAGCCAATGAGACAAGTTCTGAAGTGAACAGACAGATGTTGCACAGCACTGGGTAGTTCTGATAAACTAATTAAGTAGAGCTTTATTTCTGCCATGGCTCTGTTCCAGCATCTCTTTTCTGTGCTCAGCCTTAACCTTGGAACCCATGAAACAGATACAGCTATATGTGTTCGGCATTTCCTTCACTACAAGTCTCCACACAACACAAAGGTCTATCAGATGATGAGTCTTGAGCCCTGGCATATTTCTTCTAGAAATTAAGAACTACTTCTAAGTTAGAATGCATAGGATGCAAAGCTTCAAGTGCCCTTCTTTAGAATTCACTGCAATCTCAGAACCAGCAGGAGACGTTTGTTATGTTCTACTTTTACACTATGTTCTTAAGCCTTCCAGGAGCGAATCCTGATGATGGATTAAACCTTTTACAAAGCAAATACATCTGAGACCAAACAAGCTGAGCTATCGCTCTCTTGCCAATACTCTCAGATCTCATAGGTAAGGTCTAATTACAGTTTACCTGTCTGGAAGCTGTACAGCAGCAGCAACGCAATCCAAGACATATTTATTACGATTAAGACCCATGGTCTCCAATAGGGCTTACTCCCTTGTAAGTGACACTACTCCTATAGTGTTCAACAAAAGGGGGGCTGGAAAGCCAACCCAATGCATTAAGAGACCTGGATATCCCTAAACAGAAAACATGCTCTATAGTGAAATCTACCATACCACTGGGGAGGTCGGGAAAGATGGAGATATTTATACTGTGATCATATTGGAACATAAGATTAAGTCCATCTGGATAAACCATGTCAAAGGCGCTGTCATATGCCAGAGATGAATTTCAAAGCCTGCCACTCTTGGGGCTGTATGCAGTTTAAGAACTTGGAGGTGGTATTTAGAACCAGATGTTTGGGTCGCTTTAAGTCTGACCTTGAAAAATTCTTTTCTAAATCCCCTGTTCAAAAATATACTTCCCAAGAGTCCCTCATGTCCCAAACTTTCCCCTTCACCTTGTCCATTGTCATTTGATACCACAATGGCAGTATCTTCTTTGACATACGTTCCTGACCAAGATCTTGGTGATGGCAATAACCACAATTAGGGTGGAGCTTGTCTTATGCACACTTGCACTTCTCATAGTCCCTATCTCTTGTAACTTATAGATGCAATCAAATTCCTGGTAACTTTTGCATATGGTTTGCATAAGTGTTACCTGGTAAAGAGTTACAGTGGCACCTTCAATCATCTTATTCATTCATGTGGGAGCAAGGAGAATAAAGACGGGCTGCCAATAGTATATTTCTAAAAATGTAACCTAGGCAGTGTGACTCATGATCCACACCTTGTGTCATTCAATAAACAGTGTCTTTTGAAAATCTTCCCACCATGAATGGGCTGTGAGTGCTCAAAGGAACAAGAAGAATTGTGGTTCTGCCTACAGAGTGAGTGGAAATAGATGCAAAAACCCTCCCCTTTCACCTCCTTGCCCTTGCAGAGAATTGGATCAAATAGTCTGAGGATTGTGAGATTGCTACACCCCTTCTTCAACGATTCAAGGGCCTGATGCAAGGAAAGGTGTGTACTTTGAGAGGGTCTCTCTTGTTTTCTTGCTGCTTACAGCTGCTATTCACAAGTAGTGTTTCACAGGTTGATTTGTTGTCCTCAGATTAAGTTCTTAAAGGAAGCCTACCTACAAAAGGCCTTGAGCATTCACTGAAGTCAAATTACATTCCGCTTTTGTTCCTTGAAACTTCACTCCCTATTGTGTGGAGGGGTGGATAGAAAGTGCAAACACACACACACATACATACATGCATTTTGTAGTTGCAAAGGAGTAAATCAAAAATGGAACAAACAACCTGTCTCCTAGCAAAGAGTTCTGCATAGATTAGAAGAGAATAATAACCTTTTGTTTTATCGTTTTTTAGAAAGCCAACAATGCGCTTTTGTTTTGCTTAAGAAAGGAATATTTTTAATAGTGTTGGAGTAGAGAAGTAATCATTTAAGTAAAGGGATGGACTAAGTAGAAACAGAAGAATATTTTGGAATTTAGCCATCAGACCAAATACCATGCCTGGTAATGACTGGTTGATGAGGTACATTTAGGGAAGGGTGGGGGGACCCACATGAACTACAAGTAAACAGGGCTTCTAGTTGTCAGGACCTGCAAATTGTGTTTATGCAAGAATAATTGTGCCAAGCCAGCTTGTGATTGCAGGAGGGGGCACGGCAGTCTACACAAATCATGAAATCTATGTAGACGTGGGGAGGCAAAATACATTGATCAGTCTTCAGACCCCAGGAGTTTCTGACTCAGGCCTACAATATCTGGTTCCTAATAAACAAAAGGTATGATGCTCAAAGGTCCAAAGGAACAGGAGTCAGGATGGATAAGCATAGAAGAAGTCCTGTGGGGAAAGGCCCCTCCAGACTGGTGTTTTTTTCTGGGGGTCAGTTGTGCAGTAATGCTCAATAGCATGTCATCCAACATTTCTCTGATGAAAATAGGGTTCAAGCATTGAATTTTAGGCTAACTGGGTGCCATCTCTTCAGTGTTTTTTTCCATTCTGGTTTGTTTGGCAGCAGTTGGAGCAGCTGATTGGAAAACAAGCTGCTTCTCCTGACTTTGCAGCGTCACTTAGCCCTGGAGCAGCTGTATATTTAGAGTGAAACTGAAAGGTGCTGGGCTGGATCCATTTGACAAACAACCTGTCTGCCCGCTCAAGGGTGTGGTGGCTATTTACAGTGTCTGCATTACAATTTGCTAATGCAAGTGGGTCAGGTAACTCAAACCACCCTTGGAGAAGACTAGTAAAAGTCTAGCCCTTAAGTAAACACTTCCCTTCCCTGCAGAGCAAGCATCCTTTGTCATGTGGTGTCTCAGTCGCTTCCTGGTATTGCTGTTCCAGTCAAACACTTCTCTTTATCTCCCTCCGATTATCACACTGGCCACTTCATCACCAAGGCTGTTGTTGCTGTAATCTGGAAGGTCAGTAAGTTCTGCTGAACTGGAAACTTACCCTTCTGAAGAAGAAAAAACACTAGTAGTGTTCTTGAAACACTGACCAGTGTCACATTTTAACTGGGATTTAGCAAGGCTCGGGATTTATTCTCAGTGCCAAAGCCTAGCCCTGGAACAAATAGAGAACCAATAATCCTTCAGCCTGTTCTAACAGCAAACTTATTCTCTTTCAGCAGCCAAAGCAGCAACACCCGCACAAAAGACGGAGGTGTCAGTAGGCTTGGGGAAACTCCAAGGTTTGCAGAAATAGAAAATAGAAAATCTTATGGCAAGCCTCAAAATGACCCAATGAGTACTGAGCATGCTCAGGGCTGGCACTGGAATGCCGAGTGAATATTGCAAGAAGATTGATGGAATAATGGTTAGAGTGTTGGACTAGGCCCTGAGAAACCAGGGTTCAAATCCCCACTCAGCTATGAAGCTCACTAGGTAACCTTGGGTCAGTCACCATTTCTCAGCCTTATCCTACCCCACAGGGTTGTCCTAAGGATGAAATGGCGGGGGGTGGGGGAGAACCAGGGACAGCACTTTGAGCTCTTTGGAAGAAAAGGTGGCATATTAATGTAATAAATAAATATCCTGAAATGGGGCATGGTTTGTTGGCTGGGAACCTGAACAAGAGTACTTCATACTACAACGTTTTGTGGAAGGTCCCAGTTCCAAATAGAATTGACGAACAGAGCTGTGCTCTGGTATACAAGAACATTTCACAGCAACATAGGAAGTTGCCTCATATTGAGTCACATCCTTGGTCCATCAAGCTCAGTAGTGTTGACAGTGACTACCAGCAGGGTTTCAGGCAGGAGGTATTCCCAGTTCTACATGGAGAAGTCAGGGATTGATCCAGGGACCTTTTGCACACAGAACATGCCCACTACCACTGAGCTTCTTCAAGTCTCCCTTCTTTGAATGGGAAAATGCTCTACATGTACAATGAAGAAACCAATTGAGGAGACAGTGGCTGTGTACACACCATGCATTTAAAGCATCCCCCCCAAGAATCCTGGGAAGTGTGGCTTGTTGAAGGTGTACTCGGTGAGGGGTAAACTACAGTTCCCAGCATTCTTTGTGAAGGAGGGATGTGCTTTAAGTGTATGATTTGTGCACAGCCAGTGAGGCAGCTCTGACAGACACTTTGCATGGTACATTTTCCTGGGCTGAATCTCACATCTGCAAAAAAAAGAGGAAAACATTTGAACGGATCCCATGTGAATGTGAGTTGATGACAGGCATGGCACAGAATGTACTCTTTGACCATGGACAGACATCAGTTAGCTAGCACTGGCCCTCCAGGAACTGGAAGATTAGAACTACTAGATTAGAGATAACTAGATTCCTGGAGAACTGCTATCCTGAGGTGACCATAAACCAAACCCTCACAGAACAATGCACATCGGCTGCAGGCAACAGCTTTTGACTGCCTGGCTTCCTTAGCAGAAATTCAGATCACTGAGATGTCTTAGCTGAAAGATTCTGCTTGCTTCTACAGTAGTACCTCGGGTTAAGTACTTAATTTGCTCTGGAGGTCCGTTCTTAACCTGAAACTGTTCTTAACCTGAAGCACCACTTTAGCTAATGGGACCTCCTGCTGCCGCCGCGCTGCTGGAGCACGATTTCTGTTCTCGTCCTAAAGCAAAGTTCTTAACCTAAAGCACTATTTCTGGGTTAGTGGAGTCTGTAACTTGAAGTGTATGTAACCTGAGGTACCACTGTACTTGGATAAGTGATTCCTCCTGAACTCAGTTCTCTGAGGAAGGTTGTATAGCTGACTCAAAGTGGATTGGGAGTGTAGATGCACTGACATCTCACCACACAAAGCATGTGCACCTGTAGGCAGACCAAGAGTGATGTTTCTCTGCCTTGAAAGCAGATCTTTCAGAATACAGCAAAACTTTGTCCAGACCACTTCCAATTCACTTCAGCACATTGGTATTCACTCTGCAAATTCTCTCTTCTTTTCCATCAGAGATCTCTCAAGTGCATAGAGGGGACTAATCTGTTATCTTTTGGGAATGTTTCCAGCTGCTCCGTTCTGCCCACACCGGCTCTGTTTTGTGTTACCTCAGAAACTGAAACTAACGTGACACCAGTATTGAGAAACCAAAACAGGAAGTTAACACAGATTGCCATATATGGGCCACACAGGGTGTGGAGTAACATGTTCAGACTAAAAATACAGTGATATGTAGCTGCCTTCTATTTTCAGTTTGGCTCAATTCCTACTTTCTACACTTCGATGGCATTAAATATAATCTCTCATTCTTGGCATTCAGCAAGGAAGCATTTTGTTTCCTCTCATTGAAAACTTGCATAACTGTGGCTACGAAGTTAGTAAAATAATGCATTTTACTTCAGTTTAGATTGGCGCAAGCTTTAGACAGGCACAATGGAAAGGCAACACAAGAAATAAAAGCCTGTCTCATTCCTCGTCCCCTTATTCCTGAAATTTTGCTATCTCTGGTTTGATGCAGGGTTTTGTGAAACCTGAAAGCTTGCATGCAAGTAATCCAGGACTGTGGAACCTATGGGCCTTGCTGATGGGAGTCCAGCAACATCTTTCATGCTTAACAGAATATAGTATATTGATACATTTCTTTTTTTCGAAACCAAAAAACCAAATCTAGTTATAAAAACCCTGCCAGGGTTAACTGGGAGTTAACTGGCTATCTCATATTGGCCCAAGCTCCGAAAGTCTGGGGATTGTAAGCTAAGGCTGGTGCCTTACTAGACATGCACCATGCTGAGTAATGATGCTGTGCAATGTCACAGATTGTGCTTGCTTACAACTTACTCTACAAGCACCCCCACTTTCCCTTGGCCTCTCAGGCCCAAATCCAGATGGGGATGATGGAGTGCCTGAGACCAGCAAAAATGCCCCATGTTGCCCTGGTCCTGCATTGTCTCACAAACCCTTAAGGATCATCTGCTTCTTCTGGAACTGTAGTTTGTTATGGGAATGGTCAGTCTGTGAGAAGGGAAACTACAATTCCCAGGAATCTTTGCGGGAGGAAACAATATGCTTTAAACGTGCACTGAATGTGCTTTAAATACATGGTGTTGATTGTGGGTCAACAGAACTGGGGGAAACCAGTCCACTGTTGTCCCTGATTATACTTTTTCTTCTTCTCATCAACAGGGAGGCTCCTATATTATTGACTGAGGGGCTACACCCAACTGACAACAAAGACAAATGCCATTCAGTCATCTTGTACTAACAGCCACTGCTGTCTTGTTTTTCCTTTTCTAACTCCAGCAGTTGTGTCATTAAAAAAATAAATATAAAATGCTGGCCTCTCAGCTTTCACACAAAGGTTTGCCATATTTGCAGAGAGAGTTGCACTATTATGACCTTGCTTCACACGCCCACAAATTTTATGTTGCCTTAGTGCATGCCCTAGAAGCTTTGCCCAATGCCTGTGGTCCTTGCAGAACTACAGTCACTGCCAGGCAGCAGCTGAGCTTCTAGGTGAGGGGCAATGATAGAACTTGCTCATACAAGTGCTGCTGACACTTTCCTCCCATTTAGTGAGCGGTGTTGCATTTCAGAAAGGAGATAGGTGGGGCTGAGCAGGCTCATTTGTCCAAAAAGCACTTGGCAAAACTGGAGTAGCATATCAACAAACTCTGGGTTTTCCTTCTGCCCCTGTCTTGGGAGGTTTTCTGTGTTTGCAGGACCTGGAGTTGCAGGTCTGTGGTCATTAACTAGAATTGCATGAAGAGAATGGAAGGAGACGGGGATTAGCAGTTGCCTATTCTAGTATTTTTGGAGGTGAGAGGAAGGGTAGCTTTCAATGCACTGCCTCCTTCTGCTGTTAATCTTCTCCCCATCTCTTCTCTCTGATCCCTCAAGGCTGTTAACCTGGTTGTGAAAGAGATACGCCACTCATGCTTAGAGCAACTATATTTCTGCAACTGAGCCATAGGATTCCAAACAAGTTTTAAGTCCAATTGAGCCTTGGCATAAATTTAACCCTGTTTAGTGAAGTGAAATCATTGATGCTAGAGAAAAGACCTGGTAACTTTAAAAGAAAAATCAGATGGGATTCTAAGCACTAAGTTACATGGGATGCTCAGTGTGTCTGTCAAGCTGCAGGAATCTTTATAAAAAGCTCTAAATAGGAGTCATATGGGGGAGTAATTGGGATGGTGACACACCGAAAATAGCGATAAATCTGCTATCAGGATTTACCCATTTTGGTGTTCAGTGTAGCTATTTACCACGCAACTATCCTTTTCTACTCTGTGTTCAAGATCTCTGAAGCAGGATACTTCCATTCAGAGGGTGATCATAGATGGATTGCACCTCCCTCCCACCTCAAATCCTGGTAAAATGCAAGCTCTTTCTTTTGTCCCATTCCACCTATTATAATGACAAGCATTGTTAAAAATTCATTTTGTTGTTACTGAAGGGCATAAAGAGCTAGGATAATGTGGCATTTTTTCACACATTAAATGAAAAGCATTTGTGCTGTTGTGAATGATGTTAATAGAAGATAGAAAGCTGCATTTATTTATTTATGTTCAGCTGGATTAAAATTGTATGAGAACACGTGTCTTTGGTTTGTAAATATAATTTTAATTTCTCAGTAGCTAATACACACACACACACACACACACACACACCCTTTCCTAGGGTGTAACATATGAATTAGATGGGATTGTATCCAATACAGCATTTGTGCAAGAAGAAAAGAGACGTTTTAAGTCAAATGTACATTCTTAGCCATTTTAAAACTTGTGCTGCAAACCAATTCAAGCAAAAAACCAATATTGAGCATTATGTGTCAAACCGTTCTAAAAGGTCACCAAGGGCGAAATGAGAAGTGTGTGTGTGTGTATAAATAAAACAAACTGAAAGGGAAGGGAGTGATATGTTTGGGGAACCCCTGAAGATGTGCAGAGATACTACGGTAATTGGTCTTCTGAGAACGATCTGTGTGGCTGTTTAAGCTAGGTAGGCTAAGAGAACCAACAGGCAGGAATCAATCACAGAATTGTAAGTCAGAAGGGATCTCGAGGGTCATCTAGTCCAACAGGAGGCATGTGAAAACATTTGAAAACAGACTCCATCCAAGCTGCTAAGTGTGGGAAAAAATGGAAAATTGTTGACAAAGGGCGTGGGGCATGCTGGCCAGCTAAGCTGTTTTTCTGAATTTCAGAGGAAGACAGCAACGCAGATGTTGATGTTAACATCAGGCTCTCCCTTTTGCTTGGGGAAAAAGAGAGAGAGGGAGAGAGAGAGCTGCGGTGGATGTCCAAGAAAGATACTGCTATCATTATGCCTTTCCAGTTCTATTTAAAGTCCGCGTAGGAGCCAAGAGGAGAAGCTCAGCATAAACACCACCAGATCAGGGTAGTACCAGGTGTCAGCTAGCCCTGCAAAGTCACTGAAATGTCAAGGATTGTTTTTCCTCTCCTCCCTTGCTTTCGTCTGACTGGGAACTGCCAGTGTTTATTTAAAAGATATCCTTCGCATTTGGCAAGGATGCCAGTGGGGCAGACGTTAATGGATTATTATTTGGAGCTGGCAGGCTGCCAAGGAGACAAGGATAGCTTGGGCTTGCTACCCAAAGCCCCTGCCATTAAGCATGAGAAAAAGAGTCCAAGTATTGGAACTGCCGGGCCTTGTGGTTTTCAGAGTTAGGTTGAACACGGCTTTCCAATAAATGCTCTTTGCTCTTATATTAGATCTGACCTACTAAAATTCCGTAGGGGAGAATGGAAAGAGGTTGGGGGCATTCAGCTACAGCTTCAAGGTCCCAAAGCAATAATGCCCTAGTTTGGCTGGTTAGTCCGTTGGGTTTTCGTCAGCTGCAGCGTCATGCCGGTGAACGGTGCAAGGAATGTCTTTTTCCACAGACAGAGAGGACCCGATCAGATAGCAGCTAAATGAAGTGGAGGTTTCCATGCTCGTTTCCGATGGGTCTTTGATGCAACAAGTCTGTAATGCTGAAACCATCTGCTCTGGCTTGTGGAACTTGTCATTCACATGGCATGTCATTCACATGGACATTTTGCATCAGGCAAAGCTAGCAGTTTCACTCGTCTTGTGAAAGCCTTGACATACAGAGCCACAGGCCAGGAAAAATCCTTAGGAAATGAGTTTCCATGGGCAATTGTTGAAATGTTTTTGAGATGCTTTCTGGGCACATCTTAAGCCATCTGCCAGAACAGGACGACATGTGCAAACCACACAAAGTCAGCTGCTGTTTTGACCTCAGCAGTTAAATATCTGTACTTGAATTCAGCCTGGGACTACTGGATCCGGCCACTTGACTCAATGGCACAGGCGGATAATCAAAACATTGGGAAAACTAGAAATTGAGGCATATATATATCATACGTTTACATGAAACTACAAACAGTTCTGTTAATTGTATGAGTTAAACCATCACAAGGCTGCCTCTGCCAACCTGGTGCTATCCACATATTTTTGAACTACCACTCCCTGTGGTTGATGGAAGTTGTACTCCAAAATATCTGCTGTACTCAAAGACCATAATTCCAAGCCATAATGACCTGGAGGAGAAAGAACAAGTTTCTGTTCTGGCAGAATCCGTCAGTCACTGGGGTCCTCCAAACAGGTTTGGGTTATGTAATACCCTATGTCCCATGATCGCTGCTATTTCGACAATGCCTGGTTAGGAAGTGCAGGTCCGTGGCACTCCATTCTTCACAGGAACCGTCACAGACAAGTAGCAATGGCCTCAGGGCTTCTTGTTGAGAGGCAGGTGGATCATTCAGCTTCCCAGCATGTTTAGGATTTGCTGGAGCTTCCCTGCCTAAGCTGGTGCAAGGTGAGGAGTTGTCATCAGCTCACAGTGGTCATAGATTGCCCTGTATATGATTTGGTATAAGTCGTTTGGAAACTAAGTTATTCCATAAAAATCATTCCAGGAATAGCCTGTGATTTTGTAGGCCAAATAGACACACTGGGGCATATTTTGATTACCAAACAACAACAACAACAACTTTAAAAAAAAAAAATTTTTGAGGGGCCTTTTTAAAAAAATAAATAAATCTGGGTCTCTCAAGCTTGCTTTTTAAAAAACAAACAAACAAACCCTTTCTGTTCTTTATATTGGAACTGTTTATTATTTCTTCCGTGGAGCAGGGGGAGCCATCTGTGTGTGTATATATATATATATATATATATATATATATATACACAGAACTCCGTTCTGATGACCCTGAAAACAGGTTGCACATTAGCACACGAAACCCATTGCAGCTTCAAAGAAATTCTGTCACATTCCAGCAATGCTCTTAGGCAAAGGAATCCTACTAGCAACTCTAGGAGTTAATTTGCTAATGTCAAAAATGATGGGGCAAATGCAAAGTAGTGTCTTGTGTCCTGGATATTTTTAGACCAATATTGTTTACTATTTTGCTTCTGTTCTACAAAGTCCTCTCTTTCATACACACACACAGAGAGAGCGCAAAAGAAAAAAACAAAACCCTGCATTCCGCAGTTGCAACATCTATGTTCTTTGAGAGTCAACCTTCCTTCTTGTCCATCAGGATGTGTACGCTATAATTAAGGTGCTGAGAAAGACCATTTAGCAAAAGCCAGTAGCTGAAACACAGTAACATTTACTGCTGTGATTGAAAGCATTGGAAGGTTGGGTGGAATTTTACTATGTAGTAGTTTTATCTGCTCAGCACTGGCAAAGGAGAAGAAGAGAAACGAAACCTTAGACAGAGATTTGTCACTAATGAAACAGATAAAGCAAACAGTTTTACATTTGTTTTCAAGCTGCAGACAAATAACTATTAGCCCCGGCAGATGAGATATTTTGTGCTGGAAGGTTATTAAGGATTCATTTATTTTACCTGAAGTTCAATTATTTCGTTTTCATTCTTCAGTATTATTGGACCTATAGAATACTACCGTGCCTGGCTGTGGTTTAGTGGGCTCTTCCTCTCTAAGAGATGTGTTTATTTGTTGATTTATTATACTTATATTCCACCTTGTAGCATTGAGAGGCTCTTGAAGTGGCTTACGCAACATTATGAAAAGTAAGAAACACTGTGACTCACTTCTAGTAAAGGGACAGCAATTGCACAGCATGCATATGGAACCAGGATCATTCAGGCAGCATTTTCAGCAAAAGGTTGTGACGGAGCAGTTGGCACTTGGCTTTGCTCATGATGGAGTCAAGTCTTCCTTGCTAGTAGCTGCCAGACAACAGGCAAGGGCCTGGGACTGAGCAGCTGGATCTTGATGGAAGCAGTCTCCTCTTGCAAATGCCAAACATCAGCTCCCACTGAAGTCAAATTTAGCCATGGTTGCCAAATGGCAGCCCAGCTAGGGCTCAGTCCAAAAGCCTATTTTGCCAGAGGTCTCGGAAGGTGTGAAATAAAATGGTCATGTGCAGAGTGCCTATTCTGCTCCGCTGAGTTATTAGCCAGCTCCCATACACCCCAAATTAGGGGTTCCTTCAAAAGTCACTTGTCAATGGGCTGTCAGGCAGTACTGAGCTTACTTCCAGTTTCCAACCCCATGACTTAAGTTTCTTCGGCTAGCTGTCCTTGAGAACTGCAACATTTCTTTAAAAATCAGCCACTCCCCTTGGCCATTCAGAATGTAACTGACGGCCACATCCCTCAGCAACACATCTGTTGTTGCAAGACACGTTGTAACCTTGCAGGACACGTTGCTCTCCATAACTTACTCTCTTGCTTGTAGTGGGTGTACCAAGCTTGCTCCCTATAGCCCCAATGGAACCAGTGCTTACTTTTTCATTGCCCTTAACAGCCACTCTTCATTAAGCCTTCTCCCAGGCTATCCCTTCCTCCTTTCCCCAAAGGTTTGTTGCTGCCCAACTGGATAGCCTCCCACTCTCAACAGCTGTGCCCTTGCCACAAATGCCAGATTGCTGGGGTTGCTGTCCTTTTGATATAATGAGAGAGAGAGAGAGAGAGAGATACGCCCACAATAATGAAGGGCATGTGTTTCTTTTTATGCTGTTGGTGCAGGAGCCAAGAAGCAATTGCTGCTCACCAGATCTTTGGAATAGTCCTCTTTAAGCTTTCATGGAGTTTTGTTCTTGATTTGGCATTTTGCTCCTTTCCAAGATTTCATAGGCACATGGAGGGGGAAGGGACTTTGTAGGCCATCAAGCCCAACCACCTGTTGTGGGTAGGCATTTCAGAGCAAGGGCATCCCCAAGAAATGGCTGCCCAACTTCTGCTTGAAGATCACCAGTGAGTTTCATCATCAAATTGATATTATTATTATTATTATTATTATTATTATTATTATTATGCCCTATACCCATTGATCTCAGGGCAGTGCACAACATAAAATCACAATATAAACACCACAAAATACATAATTAAAACAAAAACAAAGACAACCCAATAATGCCCCCCACTTCCACAACACATTTTAAAAGGGCATCGGATGTCAATCAGCCAAAGGCCTGGTTAACAACCAATGTTTTGGCCTGGCACCTAAAGGTATATAATGAAGGTGTCAGCTCAACCTCCCTGGGGAGAGTATTCCATAAATGGGGAACCACCACAGAAAAGGCCCATTCTCATGTTGCCACCCTCCAGACCTCTCGTTGAGGAGGCACACAAAGAAGGGCCTCAGATGATACCCAAAGGGTCAGGGTAGGTTCATATGGAGAGAGGCGATCCTTACCATTAGAAAGTTTCTTCTGATGCTCAGCTGAAATTTACCCCCTTCTAACTTAAGCCCATTAGAGCTGTTTTTTCACCCTGTAGCAGCAGAGAACAAGGTCACATCTACACCACACATGTAAAACGCACAGCTTCCCTCAAAGAATTCTGGGAACTGTAGTTTGTTAAGGGTGCTGGGAATTGTAGCTCTGTAAAGGGTGAACTACAGGTTCCAGAATTCTTTGTGGGAAGCTTTAAAAGTGCTTTAAATGTATGGTGTGGGCATCAGTTTTAGGAAATAAATAAAAATAAATAAAATGATGTCTTTTGTTCACCTGATGATTTTCTTCTTCAATGAAAAGTCTGATTACCAAATCCAAGAAATGAGGCGGGAGGAGCTAGTTAATGAATTATGAAGATGACTGGCAAGTCTTGGCTACATAGCAAGCTGCCTTCAGCTCCATCCAAAGTCCCCCACCCCCTGCAGCTGCAGAAATAGCAGAGCACATGAAAGGTAATATTTTTTGCTATTAGTGAAGAAAGGGAAAAATGTGATCTTTGCTACAGCCTTGGGAATAATTTTCCAAAGCTACATAGAAAAAGCCAAAGTGAATAGTGCTTTTCTTGGCACTGGCCTGACTGCTTAGCTCACATCAATAATTTTAATGCTTTATTTGTGGTTTGGGTTGTAGCAATTGGTGAAAACCTATGGAGAAAAAAAAGTGACAAAATCTACTAAATATCTCCAAAGTTCATGAGTTGCATTTTTTTTTGTGGGGGGGGGGGGAAATACTCCATGTTTTTGAGAAGCCTTAGAAACTATACAGGCTCATAAAGTAAAGCCATAAAAGCAGTTTTACTTTACATTTTCAAACATTGCTGAAAAACATTTTATGAGGTTTTAATTAGCGCTTTATGGTTTGAGGAGTTACAATGACAGATTGTCCAATGTTTTTGGAGATGTCTAAATATTGCACAATAGCTCCGCCACCGGCTAAGCACAAAATACAGCAATTTTATTTCTGGAGCGCACATGTGCTGTATTATTTCCTCTCCATTACTAAAGATTGCCCTGGTACAATATGTGCAGCTGATTTTTGTGGTCAGCAGATAAGATTATCTCTCCCCAAAAAACCTTGGAGCACCATTAAACTAATGCTTCAGCTGGCACATGCAAGTACAAACGGTTATCAAAATATAGTGCAAATGCAGCATTTTAATCTAGATGTTGGCAGAGGTTTGGGCACTGATGCAGAAACTGTGGACGGGAGACAGTGAATGTGAATAGCTACAGTGTAGATTTATGAAAGGAACTTCCTAGCAGTAAGAACACCTGGCCAACGGAACAAGTTGCCTATGGAAGTTGTGGAATCTCTTTCACTGGCACTTTTAAAGGGGAGTCTGGAGAAACAACTGCCAGGAGTGGATTAGTTTAGCAGAGTGGTTTTCAACCATGGGGCCATGCATCAGTCACTGGAATTCCTCCTGCCACTCCAAGGCCAGAGACCTGGCTCAGTTTCCTCCTAGTTCTCAAGAAATGGCTCTCTCCCTCTGCAGTGTATGTATCATAACACCCGACAAAGACAGGTCTCTCTTCACTTGCTATAAGGGACTCTGCAAGGAGTTACAGCTCAAAAAATGCATGCTTTCTCTGAAATGATTCAATGGGGCTTACTCCCAAGGAATAGGACGGTGAACTTAATAATGGCTGTCAGGGTTGTCTTTTTCTGCTGTTGAAGCAATAATTTTGAGAAGGTTACACACTCCTTAACAGAACAAAACAGATCGTCGTCGTCATTATCATTATCATTTAATAGCCTTTCACACACCTGTCTCAAAACAATGTACAAAATACAATAAAAACAGCAGTTTAAACAGTTTAAAACAACACAGAAAATAACATCAGATAAGTTTAAAAACAGAAGTAGAGACCCATTCACCCAGCTGGGAGAGCTTGTTGGAACAGAAATGTCTTCAGTTGTTTCCAGAAAATGCAGGTAGTGGGTGCCTGTCATATTTTTAGCAGGAATGCTGTGCCACAAAAAAAAGTCCAGCTCCTATTATTATTGGTACTAATACTACTAGTAGTTTTAGTAGTATTCTGCTCTTCCTTCACAGGGCATAGGGCAGTGCCTCTGCAACAGTGAGAGGCTAGCTGGTGGGTAGGATATTAAAAGCAGACAGCCAGGTTTTTCTTATGTATCTGAGATTAATTGTTGCAACTGAGATGGAAGAACTATGTGCAAATCTATCCATCTCTGCTAAGAGCATAAGCAGCTAGGAGAGACACTATGTTGGTGATTCATGCATAGCCAATATGATGTCCTCCAGATATTATTGGACTC